CTGTCGGTCTGTGAGAGAGAGTGAGAGAAACACCCCCTCTGTTGTGCCTGCAGACTCCGCCCCCCCGCCGGATGCTGCCTGCGGAGACTCTGCCCTTCTCCTCCTTCCTGACGGATGGTTTCGGTCGCAGACACAGCTACCTGCGCATCTCGCTGACGGAGAGGTGTAACCTGAGGTGTAAGTCTGTCAGCCGACTTCCATTGGTTTTTACAGAAAAGTTATTTGGAAAAATATCAGCAATAAATAATTGAACTGGAGCATGAAAGTATGCAAGTGACATTAAAGTGGGTGATGGGCTCTAATCCTGCGGGGGGGCGCTCTCCTGCAGGTCAGTACTGCATGCCTGAGGAGGGGGTGACGTTAACTCCCCGGGCCCAGCTGCTAACCACACAGGAGGTGCTCAAGCTGGCCCGCCTCTTTGTCTATGAGGGGGTGGAGAAGATCCGGCTGACGGGGGGGGAGCCCCTCATCCGGCCTGATATCCTGGACGTCATTGGTGAGCTTTCGGGGGTCCTGCTTTGGTCTCGCTGTTATTCCCCATTTATTTCCACTTCCAAAGTCGCCGCACCCTGGTGTATCCGGGGCTCCTGTACTCGTCAGCGCTGCTCTGTTCTTTGCCTTGCCCTTCCTCTCCTCTTTCTCTGTCCTCTCTCATGCTCTCCATCCCCCCCTTATCTCATCCTTAAGCCTGAGCAGAGCTTCTGCACCCCCCCCAGATCAATAATGGCCCTTATCTTCTAATTCCCATAGATTTTTGGGCTGTGATTTTGCATTTGGATGGGACTCCTATGTTTCAAGGTGCACGCCCGCGTTTTGGGAGCCTAGTCAGGATCACGGTTCCTGGATTCTCCGATCCTGTCCCGGAAGGGGATCTGGATGTTTTTTTACCTTCTGACAGTCGTGCCCTGGGGTGTTGCTCTTGCAGCATGGATGCGTACGACTTCAGCTGAACCCTGGGGGGGCTTTCTGGCATCTTTGAGTTTGCTGGTGCTTTTCTCAGTCTGACATTTGAAAGCTCCTTCCTCACCCTCCTCCGTCTGCGTTCAGCTGAGCTCCGGAAGCTGGAGGGTCTGAAGAGCATCGGTGTCACGACCAACGGCCTGAACCTGGCGAAGCTGCTGCCGGGCTTGAAGCAGGTGGGCCTGGATCTGCTCAACGTCAGCCTGGACTCGCTGGTGCCGGCCAAGTTTGAGTTCATCGTGAGACGTAAAGGTGATTTCTGCACTAGGGGGCGCTGTTCTGGGTCTCAAGGGGATGTTTCACAGCGTTCTTCAGAGGATGTGTGGTTCAGCCGGCCAGGGTGCTGTACCTGTGATGAGAAGGTCGCTGGTTCAAATCCCATGGTCAGCAGAGTGATTTCACCGTTAGGCTCTAAAGCAGGGGTCTCCAAATCCGGTCCTGGAGAGCTACCATCCAGTAGGTTTTCTGTCCCACTTGGCTTCTGATGAGCCACACCTGCTCCTGGTATTTACCTGAGAACAGGTGTGGCTCATCAGAAGCCAGGTATGATAGAAAACCAGCTGGATGGTAGCTCTCCAGGACCGGAGTTGGAGACCCCTGCTCTAAAGCGAGGCCCTTAACCCCAGTTGCTCCAGGGACTGTGAGACCCTGCTTTCTGAAAAACAATATTGTTTGTCGCTTTGGACAAAAGCTTCCACTAAATAAGTGTTAAATGAATTTGCCATTATTTATTCCTTGCTATCAGAGTTTTCACATATTAGTAAGTCTTATTTTAAGCACCATCTGTAGCTGGTGAAATGCTGGCATGGTATTCAGGAATATGACAGCAGTGCACAGGGCTAATGCCCCACGGAGTCACAGCGCCTCCGGCTGCGGTGCCAAGAAGTGCAGTTTGAGGCCGGCTTCCTGTCTGGTTTATTTTTATCTAAACAGCTCCGCCGTTCAGTTTGAAAGGATACTTGCAATTGACTGCTTTTCTGGAACGTTCTTCATGAAACCAATAACTGAGTGAGCTGGGATTATCTCTCTGAAGGTCCCTGCAGAGCATGGCTGTGATGAACACCTGTCCCGACGATGCCTGCTTAGCCCGCTAAGAGATTGTGGGCAACTGAGCTTAATCTCCGCCTTGAATTTCAAACCGTCCATCTCGGTAGTCGTCTGCGGGATTTCTGCTCGAAAACCGCTCTCACATCAGGGTGCCGGAACCTCATTCTTCTGGAATTTGGACGGCTCGGTCGCATGGTTCCGGTTAGGACCGCGCGGCTTCCTGTGGCTTGCGATTGCTCTTGTGTTCGTGGCCGTGTGGATTCCGATAATTACATAGTCATCGTTATTTGAGGAAAACCCTTTTGCTTGTAAGGGGACGGTGGCCTTGTTCCCTGGTTTGGAGGAAGGCATCGGTGCTTGAAAGCTCCCCGGAGGAGGGACTGGTTCCTCTGCTCACCAAGTCGTCTGCTATGACAGCTCAGGTGTTCTGCCATAAAAGTGGCAATCCGGCCACACGCTGAAAACCATGTAGCTGTGCTCTGACTTCAAAAGAGCCATTCAGTGTGAAGAGAACGTCCAGACCAGGACGTCAGGTGCTGTGGTGGGCAGCATGATTGGTGCGAACGTCCCTCCGCAGCCTTTGGCTCGGAAATGCGTGACCCTGGCAGCTCAGACAAGGTTAATCAAGCTCCCCTCGCCTTTTCCGAAATAGGCCGCCAATCTGGCAAGAGACGCGGAGTTGGAGTCGAGGTGGGAAGCTGTGAGCCGCTGATAGGAGCCCGCAGAGAATCTCCGTGGGCTGCAAAATGAGCTGGTTTGACCAGATTCGAGCTGACAGCTTAATTTCTGTCCCAATGCCGCAGGATTCCACAAGGTGAAGGAAGGCATCAACAAGGCCATTGAGATGGGATACAGCCCCCTCAAGGTGAGTCGCGCAAGACGAGCAAAGCAGCTTTGGCGTCTTAGTGTATTGGGACATGTTTTGATTGGATCTAAGCCTAAAATTTAGATACTACAGAATCAGATGGGATTAAAATATCTATGTTCAGTGGCTTTATCTTACTTGGGAATTCAGAAAGGTGACTCTGAAGAAGACGTTAATACTTTGATGGCACGGAGAATACCTCCTCTTGGATAGTGACAGATAGGGCACCGTGGCACAGATGGCTGCCACCACGTGTGCCGTGGATGCTGGGATATCTGATGCTCGGCTTCAACCTGCATGGTGACGACAGCGGAGACGGAGCGTCACGGGCTCAGTTAGGGAGGCGTGAAATGTCCAGTGGCATATTTCCGGAAAAAACTTGAGCTACTCCAGCTGTGCAAATGGATAGTGTGTCAGCTTGCTATGGCTGACCGCAAAGTACACAAAATAGTGATGCATTTTTAGTGACTTTTTTTGGGAATATGCTCTAAATACGACGCCTGTGATGTTCTTAGCCTAGAGGAATGCCGTGTCTGTGCACTCCACACTGCCCTCTGCAGGTGAACTGCGTGGTGATCCGAGGTCTCAATGAAGACGAACTGGTGGACTTTGTGGCCTGGACTGAAAAGAATCCCCTGGAAGTTCGCTTCATCGAGTACATGCCCTTTGACGGTGAGTCATGGTTCATGGTTGGTCCATCGTCTGGTTCAAGACTCAAGGCTCCAGTGTCTCACTATCCTAGTGTCTGGTTCCCCAAGACTCTCTAAATGAAATGTCTTTCATGTAAAAATTTCTCCACTCCACAATCATTCTTTTTGACACATGGTCAGTTTTGGGATTCGAATGTATTTCTCCGTGTTGGTTTCACCCGCAGGCAACAAGTGGAACTTCAAGAAGATGGTGAGCTGTCAGGAGATGCTGGATGGGATCCGGCAGAAGTGGCCTGACCTGGAACCGCTGCCTGGAGGACAGGCGGACACGGCCAAGGTCAGCTCCCGTCTGCTAGCTCACCACGGAGATCCTGTGGAACGTGTGAAAGGTGACCCTCCAGACTGATCCTCTCTCCTGTGTCACAGATCTTCAGGGTTCCTGGTTTCCAGGGCCGGGTGGGCTTCATCACCTCCATGTCCGACCACTTCTGCGGCTCCTGCAACCGGCTGCGGCTCACGGCGGACGGTAACCTCAAGGTGGGCCCCCGACGCGTGGCTGACCAGTGGCCTGCCAGTGCCGTCTGTGCCAACATGTGGGATTATTCACTGAATTCTGCCGTGTGCTCAGGTGTGCCTCTTCGGAAATGCGGAGGTATCCCTCAGGGACTCTCTGCGGTCAGGAGCTACTGATCAGGAGCTGCTGGAGATCATCGGAGCTGCTGTGGGCAGGAAGAAGAAGCATCACGCAGGTGCGGGTGCGGCGGGGAGGTCTGGGGAGCTGGAATGGGGCGGGCTCCGCCCTGCCAGCCAGGAATGCAGACCGCTGGGAATCCGGTTTCGACTGGCTTGGGTAACACTCTCTTAAGGTGTGGCATTTTCTCTTATACGAGAGCTAATGGAAGAGGACAGATTACCCTGAAGGATGTCGCTGGCCTTCCGAGGATGCCTTGATGTATGCATGAGGGCAAATTGGGACACATACCAGGGGTGGGGAACAGATAACGGGGACAGCACATGATGAATGATTTCTGGGGCATGGCAGCCAAATCCCAATTAGAAAGCTTTCTGCAGAGGTGAGTCATGTTAGGTTAGCACCGTGTGTTTGGTCCAGCAAAGTGCAGGATAATTTAATATGTCAAGGGGAACCGCCTTTTATATTTTTGGTATTTTTTATTCTTATCTGTCTGTGTATTTTTTTTTCTTTGTATTGCTAATTTCCTTTCCAGCAAAGTCGCGGAAGCAGGTAGAAAAGCATCTCGCTACACAGAAGTACAGTGTATGTTTGTGCATGCGGTACACGGGCCGTGAAACTTGGGAATCGGCCCTGAGGGTGTGGACCGGGCAGAGTGCGTCAGCCTCGACGTCTGCCAGCTGCAGCTCGGTGACAGGGACAGACATGGGGGGGGGGGCTTAACACCACAAAGGACGGCCGGGAAAATGACCACGGGCCTGAATCTGTATGTCTGTGACCCAGTCTCACCAAGAACTACGTGGTTCTGAAGGCGAAGGGGCGAGCCTCATGTTCCTGATGTTGTTATATTTGTAGGTCTTTGGTGTTCTAATCCACTCCCTGTCCATATTAGTCTTCTAGAACTCTCCACTGATGTGTCTGGTCTTGTACTGTCTCTGTGTTGTGTTCCGCAGGAATGTTCAGCATCTCCCAGATGAAGAACCGGCCCATGGTCCTGATTGGTGGGTGATGCAGTACGTACTCTGCTTACCCAGCATGCAGTTGGATGTGCCTTTCGGTCACTCAGTAGAGTGACTCAGCAGGGTTCCTTAAAATGTCTCAATCCAAACCTGCTCCTTTTGCCTCAGGTACTGCTTCATCAAGGCCTCCTTCCTCCTCACCCCCCATCCCCTTTCTGCAGTTTCTGAACCCGCTCCTTCATCCCCTAAATGCAGTATCCCCCAAGCCAACTCTCTCCCTGCGACTGTACCACTCCCTCTGTGGGGGTCACACTGGCAGCAAAAACACATGGTGCCTTCTTAATAGCACAGCCTCTGGTGACCCGGGTTCCATCATAGATGGGGGCAGCCCTCGGTGGAACCGCGGGTCATCACAGCCCTGGATCACTCGGACGTTTAAGGGAGTGACCCTCCCTGCATTAACCTCCCGCAGAGGATTGTGGGATTGTGACAGTTTGACAGCCGGTTTACAGGCATCGAGAGCCAAACTCGAAGCGCTCGCTGAACAGAACCCAGCAAGGGTCTGGTGGCATGGCAGCGTCCTGGGGGCAGCTCGCTTTCCACTGGGCACTCCCTTCATCAACCGCCAGCTGGGTAAAGCCAAAGACGGACCCCCACTAGAAAGCACTCCGAGTGGCAGGCATGGGCACGCCCCCAGCAACCCCGCCGAGACCGACACCCTGTCAACACCACCAGCCAGTCAGCTGACGCACATCGACGCCCAGGGCCGGGCCCGTATGGTGGATGTGGGTGCAAAGCCCGTCACCCACAGGACGGCGGCTGCTGGGGCTGTGGTACACCTGACGCCCAAGGCCTTCAGCCTGGTGAAGGAGAACCGGCTGGCAAAGGGCGACGCCCTGGCTGTGGCACAAGTCGCCGGCATAATGGCCGCCAAGCAGACCAGCACCCTCATCCCGCTCTGCCACCCGCTGCCGCTGGACCAGGTCAACGTCACCATGGAGCTGGTGGAATCGGAATGCACGGCTGTCGTGACGGCGACCTGCCAGACCACCGGCCGCACCGGGGTAGAGATGGAGGCCCTGACGGCCGCCTCGGTCGCAGCCCTGGCGCTCTACGACATGTGCAAGGCAGTTAGCCATGACATCACCATCACGGACATCAAACTGTTGAGTAAGACGGGGGGCCAGAGAGGCGACTACCAGCACAAATGCCTGGGCAGGACAAGCCCCACCCACAACCCCAAAGCAGCAGCACTGGACACGGATGACAAATGAATTAATGATTTAGTGGGATGTTTATTGCAGTCGTCTAATAATTGCAACTCTCCCAAACTGCATCCGAGTGAAGAGGATTCTGGGAAATTGTTTCTGTGTCTGGGCTGAAACACAATAGGTCAGGCCACCTGGTATTGCTCTCCCTCGGCCCTCCAATCGTAGGCTAGTTGTCCCAGCGTGTCACTGTATAAAGCCAGACCTTGTCGTCCACCCTGCACTGAAGATCCTCTTAAGATTAAGTGCTACAGTAGGACCGGTCCACGCCTTCAAGAATGGACAGCTGTTGGCTCAGTACACATGCGACCATTTACAGGGCGATTTGTAAGCCTGACCCCTGGTGTCTCTGCACTGCTGCCCCAGTGGTTAAGTAGAGGTACTGCAGCTTATCTGAAGAATGAGTTTCATGTTGCTGCTAGCTGAAGACGCAGCAGGGAATTCAGGGCTGTCTCTGCCGAAGGCTGACCAATAGGAATGAGGAAGATGAACCACGCACAAATATGTTTCTCTAAGCAATATCTTTTTCTAACAAACACTGTGCTCGTACTATTTTGGGTTTGGATGCTGTCTGTTGGTCGTGCCATAGCAGATCATTTTGGTAAATCTTGGCTGCTTAAGCCTCTCGGAACAAACCTGATTGCAGGAGCATGAAGGTGACATTACTGAAAAAGAACAGAGAGAGACTGAAAAGACCCCCTACCACCCAAATAACATAAAAGTAGCTTTTCTATACTGAAGCCACGTGATGAATGATTTGCAAATTCCCTTTGGTTCAAATAATGGGCTCTAGCATTTTGTATCTTTAAGTTCTAAGGTTGTTCTACTATTTCCAGAATTGAACCCAGGGGAAGTGACCAAGGGGCAATGCTGACTGCCGCTGCCTGCCGCACTATGTGGCCAACGGGACACTTTCCCTGGGTTCAATCTTAAGGTGCCCTTAAAACAGTGGGATTAAGTGATGATGCAGTGCTTTAATACCCCTCTGGGGCTTTGTCACGCCAAAGCGGGTTTGTGAAATGTGACAATCTATTTTTAATGTTTGTGAGTCAAATTTATGGTTGCATACAAATAATGTAGTCAAATCTTGTGATTTCTTTTTGTGTGTGGTGTGATATGCCTTTTTTGGAAGATAATCCAGGAATGTCTAGTTAAGAGTGTATCTTAAATCTAGATAAAATGTATTGCCCAAGTTCTAATATGTATACTAAGTCTTAAAATGTATGTTTGATAATTCAAAAGCTTCGTTTTTGTACGTGACATGGACATCAACGTTTTTAATGCCATGAAATCCAGTGCATCCCAGCTGTTTCTGACTCTGCATTATTCTGCTGTGGTTATTAATTTTGTACTTTTACGTTTGAATATTTTCCTTAGCCTATCTCTACATGGAATGTTAAATCATGGTTCTGGTATTGATTATTTGTTCCTGCTTTTTGTGGCCCAGTGGCTAGTGAGGTGGCCTCATCTCAAATTCCACCCCCCGCCCTGTGTGCGTGAGGCCAGCTTGTCATCCCGGGGTTGCGCGGGTCCCCTTGCCCTGTGGTGCTGAGACATGCAGTTTGATGCCCATAGCGTGTGTTTGTGTGAGTAGAGATGGAGTGTCCTCACCCCAATGTGTGCCCATTTTGCCTGGAATACTCGGTCCCCTGGCGCCCTCTACTGGGTAAGTAAGGGGAATGGGAGGCAATTAACCTTGGCAGGCATTTTTGTTAGCTAAAGTTCTTAAATTTGAATGGAGGTTCAGTTGGAGTTTTGGCTTTGGGATTCGACACCCATAGCACCTGTGCATGGCCAGCTGGAGTTTTGGCTTTGGGATTCGACACCCATAGCACCTGTGCATGGCCAGCTAGGGATTCGGCTCTGGGATTCGACCCCCATAGCACCTGTGCATGGCCAGCTGGGGTTTCGGCTCTGGGATTCGACCCCAATTACACCTGTGCATGCCCATCTCTCTGCCCATTACCCTCAAGCTCGAAGGCTCGGTTGCCTCATGGCTGTCTGGTGGCACCAGGTCTGGAGTTTTGTCACAGATGGCAGTTTTATCTACCTCTGTGTTTTAAGGTATCTTGCATATTAACACAAGAATGCATTTCCTTTCACTAATAAAAGCACTAACTTGACATGATGGTGAGATTTTTCTTTGATATATTTAAAAATGCTTTCGTTCGACCGTTCAGTCCTCACAATTTCTACAAATTCATTGGTGCGATTCATGTTCTGACCAGTATTTTATGCACCTTTAAGCTTTAGTACCACTGGGGGGCAGCATTGTACTCTGGTATATTTGCTTTTGAAATTGACTTGCAGTTGTACTTACCGGTATTGTCTACAAGTGATTTAATTACTCTGTGATACTTGTGCTTCCATCATAAAGCGTCCAAAGCACACTGGCACATAGGGGACAAAGATTCATTTTATTGTAACCCTACAAAATTACACAAAATGCGAGCTAAAAGAACGTAAATAAAATTATGGTAGAACGACATAAAAAAATCAGGATCCTGAACAGCTGAATTGTCTGAAACTGACTGACAAATACAAACAGTATATTTATAATCATTTTATAGAACATTTTTATTGTGTATGCATATAAAATACGACAAACTAAATAAGGCAAATAAATAGAGGTACAATTTACAGGTAAATTGAACATTCCTTAACTTTCGTTTTTACCTTTTGTCAACAACTAAAACGGTGTACAAAACGTTAAATGGCTGTACAGCTTTCATAAGAGTTTATTCCACTCTTACAAATAAGAATGTGTATACAACTAGTTTAAATTGGGTGCAACCTCGCTTAAGCCTCGCTCGAAACGTGTGTACGTGTCACTGCGCGAATCGCACTGAAACCGTGCCACCTGCTGGCCATTTGGCGAATAACACCTGCCGGACGCCTGTGTGAAACTGGGTGAGTAATAAGTTATTTATTTCTTTCGTTGCAAATGGATTCGAACAAACGCAGCGGCGTGTGAAGTGTTACAATACGCCATGACCCTGGACACTTGACTTCCGGGATAATCCGAGACAGCTATTGCCCGGAGCGACTCTGCGCTGAAGGTGACGAGATAATACCGATGATTTTGGAACCCCAACTGTTCTTTACTTTGAAACAAAATGTGCAGATATTCCAGGTTTCCGCTATTTAAATAAATACCACAATACTGTTAAATCAGGGCCCTTCTAAGTGCAAATGAAGGGGAAAACTGTTACCCCGTGTGTGTTAAGGGGGCCACTCTTTCAGGAGTTTTGCTCTTTAGTAAATGCCTTGTCCACAGGCACACGGATATTTTTTAACACCTAGCTTTTTATGCGTTTTAGCCTTTCATACACACACAAACGGCATTTCAGGTCTCTGAAAACAGAGAACTCGATTTTCAGAAAACGTCTGAGTTTGCCCCATTTTTCACTCTGACATCAGAGTGTGCCCTCATCACTATTCACAAGTGTTTGCTTTTGACAGCGTGTTTTTAACGTTTTCATGTAGACGGAGATTTTTTTAAAACTGCTTATGTGAATGGGATTTTTTTTTTATAACGGAGGAGGAAAACACCATTTTCAAAGGTACCCGTGTGTGTGGACAAGGGCTTAATCTGTGGGTGTACATTTACACATTAAACTTGCATGTGACGAATTATGCAGTAGCCTTTTTAGCCACATGGAGCTGCGGGTTGGATTTCCAACAGGCTTTGGCACTGATTTTGTGTGTCTACCCTCAGACAGTCATACCTGGGATTTTTGGAGGGTGTAGAGGAGCCGACACTGTGGGCTCAGGCTAAGTTGCACCCTATTTAACCAGAACTTTCTTTTTCGAAACTGATTTGCTGGAGAGAGCCTGACAGCATCCACAACAGCCAGGGTACCGGAACAAAGAAGAGGCACTTGAGGGAAAACACAAAAAAATACAGGAAAGAGGCTTTTGGGGCCTGGGGGGTTAGGGGGCCTGTGACCTGGCCTGAATATGCTCTAGGGGAATGACCGCGAGACCCTGGAGTGATGGAAGCAGACCCCCCCCCCCCCACCCCACGCACAGTGACCTAATTTCGTCTAACGCTCAGCTACAGTGGAGGTCCATTGATTCATATTAGAGATTTTTCTGTATGTGTGTTTTTTCCTTTTGCTTTACTGCCACTGACATTTTCACACTCACTGAAGAAATAAACAAGTGACCAAATAAGGAAATAATTACTTGAGTTTGAAATGCGGCGAAGCTGGATAGAGACAGACTGATGCCGGAACAGTGTGCTGGGTGCGTTTGCTCCATGTGCTGCTCCTTGCCTTACATTTGTGGTGTTATGGTGCTGTGACTGGCAAACCGACCCCATTTAGGTCATAAAACCCTATCCTAGCACACTGAGAATCCAGCACACAGTTACACGGAGTGTTTATCTCTGCAAGTGTGGCATTACGCACTGTGAACGCGGTGTGGAGCCGGTACGACGCACTGTGAACGTGGTGTGGAGTGGGTATGACGCACTGGGAACGCGGTGTGGAGTGGGTATGACGCACTGGGAACGTGGTGTGGAGTGGTTATGACGCACTGTGAACGCGGTGTGGAGTGGGGATGACGCACTGTGAGCGCCCAGCGGAGCGGGTAAGACGCACTGTGAGCGTGCTGTGGAGCGGGTCTGACGCAACATCCTGTGCTGATGCAGCCAACACCTGTGGGGGGGGTTCTGGACCGGAGTCCCATTTCCATTCCTGGTTTAGGTCTGCTCAGGTGGAGGTGGCCCATGCAGGATGTCAGGGAGACGGAACAAACAGGTCACGGTCTGTCACGCCTCCAGCTAGTCAGGCCTGGTCCAAATCCTCTTAATCTCCTGCGAGACTGCAGCCCCCGGACTCGACGGCCATGCAGCTGTGGCTAAACGCACACGGAGCGACGCGATAAGGGAGCCCCCGGGGCCTTCCTGTTCAGCATCCGCCCCAGGAAATTCGACGCCACTTAAGCAGCGTAAGTGTTTTTTAATGTATTCTCTGACCGGACCTTTTCGTACTGTTGAGGAGTTATTTGTCATTTGTTATTATAATAAATGCAATATCTCCAGGCCTGAGAGCCAGATGAGAATGTAACGGTAATCTATCCACTCTCATAGTGGGCCAGCTGGTTTTAGTGGGAAAAAAATGGAGATGTACAGCTGACTGACTCTTAACCTGTCAGGATGGTCTTTAAAGATGGCTGTCCATGATGCATCCCTGGATGACTATATTTCATGTCTATATGAGAAATATCTACTCTCTTTGTTTTACTGTATAAGTTGTCTATTTTTTTTCTTTCCATAGATGTGTTTTGTAAAAGCAGTATCTGCTGTTTCCGATAAGCTCGCAGTTTGACTCGTTTTGCACTTCCGAGGCGGCGAGCGTCACGGCCTAAGATGGCAGAGGGACCTGCCTGGGGTTCCGAGCCCCTCAGGACCTGAGGATCCAGATCTCTGCCTTTGGAAGGCAGCTGCCTCCTGTTTCTCTATCTTGTTCTGAGTTTGGTTTTCCATATATTTTCCCCTCTTCTTTCTTGCATGTTTCCTGTGTGTGTATGTGTGAGTATGTGTGTGTGTGTGCGTTTTTGTAGTTATTATATTGCGGGGGCCAGATTTCCCCACGATGTGATTAAAAAAACTTGTAGCTTCTTACCTTGTGGGTTAGTCTCCACAAGGATAACCGGAATTTTATAAAAATCTGTAACTGCAATCAAATAACTAAAAATGCCAAAAGTTTTCTATTTGGTTTGGTTACTTATGGTTAGGGTTGCCATTGTTGGGATTAGGGTTTCTCCCCGTAGGATGAATGGACGGTCCCTGCAAAGATATGAATGTGTGGAGTGAGCGCGTGTGTGTTTCTGCGTGTATGCATGTGTGCGTGTGTTTCTGCATGTGTGCGTGTGTTTCTGCGTGTGTGGTGTTTCTCCCCAGCTCAGTAGTTCCACAAAATGACCCCGTGAGTCCTTGTCACCCGAGTGCGGCGAGTTCGGCTTCCGGGGCCGAGCCTCCCGTCAGGCTGGTCTTTGCCAGACCGGGGCTGATCCATCCATCCACCCCACCACCTACACAAACACTTAAACAAGCCAAAGGTCCATCACCACATAACCTTTGGAAAGAAAAATGAAGGGGGAGCAGGGTTGGGGGCGGGAACTCTGCACGTCGAACCCTGAGCCAACAGATATCTAAATCCCAGACACGAGAGGTTTGCCGTGGGGCTGCGCTTGCTGGGGATTCTCCCAGGTTGCGCTTGCAGGATTTGTCACTGTGCCATCATTCCTTCCTTTGTGTCGTTGGGTTTTCTGGTGCTTTGAGTGTCATATCTGTCCGTTGTCCATGCTGGGGCAGTGTGCTGGCCTTTTTAAATGTTGTGAACATTACGATACTTACGTAGAGAACTGCGGGGAATGGAGACAGTGCAGGTGGAAATCGCTGTAATCAGGCAAGTGAGGGAGCTGAGGACCAAGCGTTGGTCACGTTGAAATGTGCAGCATGTATCTTGGGTGCTCATTAGAACATCACCAGGGGTTGGCGACGGAAGTGAAAACGAAAGATGTATTCTAGCAGGTAGAGGGGAGGGGGGTCTTCAGTAAATTACAGTGCAAATGAGACTGGGATGTAAGGACTGTGAGACCAGGACGTTACAAAAACATTAATAGCTAAAAATACGACTTAACAAAGATACATTAGAAAAACTTGCGAGGAAACCAAAATTAAACATAATGAACAGCAAAGTTCAACGTTAGCATGTCCACTTCTACATATATAAATATATAAAAGCCTTCCTATTTGCATTTCTTTGTATTAATCTTTTTTTTTTAGCTTTGGCACTAGTTAATGCCATAATCTTTTTTTTTGTGTTTTTTTTTTTTTTTGTTTTTACAATTATTTTCTTTTTTCAGGAAAAGAAAAGTGAAGTCTTCCCTTTCTGTCACATCCCGTCTTTGAAGTTTGCCTTCCTTTCCTGTTTTCCCCCCAGAGGTGCCATTCTCCCTCCAGAACTGCAGCTGGGAGGTAGGAGGAATGCATTGTGGGAAAGGAGGCACTTAGAAGGGGTGGGGGGCACGCCCCCCACGCTCCAGTTCGGTTTGCATCATTACCAGACTGCCTTATGACAGGTGAGACTTCTGAGCTTCCAGTCAGCTAACGGCCACAGCACCAAAGCGCCACATTAAGAGCTGATGCCCTTTGGGAATTGGGGGGGCGGGGGGTTTGGGTATGACCAAAGTCTTCCTTTCCACCTCCCTGATGAAGGGACTGAGGTTTCACTATCTATAATGACCAAGCACCACAGTGAATACGGGAGAGACACAGTGTGGCTCTGCCCCCTGCAGCATGTGTTTGTCGTTGATGAGGGTGGGTGGGTATGGCGCCGCTACTCCCAGCCTGGCCTGGTGGAGAAGAGGCACAGTTTGCTGCTCTTTTTGCCTCTGAATGGGTTTGGCTTGAGCCTCTGTGCTTTGTAGTGTGCGGGCACAGGTGTTCAGGGCAGTGGTGGGCCGGGCTGTGGGAGCTCCTGGGGGCTTTGGTTTAAGTGCCAGGTGCCTGAGTCAAAAGCTGTGAAGCCAGAGCAGTAAAATCGGCCCAGTGCTGGACCTGTCCTAGAGCAGGGAGATAAACATGAGGGAGGTACGAGAGACGTAACGTGATCCACAGCCAAACCCAGTGGTCTCCGCAAGTCCATCTCTGGTTTTCTTCTTGCATTTGGGGAGTAAATACCTGGTCAGAGGTTTGGTGAAATAAGAGCAGGAAAGGTTATTATTTTTTAAGCTCCGTTCAGGTGTGCGGTTGCCTGGCGCCGTCCAGCAGAGGGTGACGGGGTGCTTAATAGTTGACCTTGGTGATGGGCCTTTCGCGCCCACTGCCGTCCACGTGCTGGCTGCCAGAGCGCTTGCGGTTGCGTTTTAGCTTGGACAGGTCCTTGTCGAAGACCTCGCCGGAGCGCAGCGCCGACACCAGATCATCAAACTCGCCCACCTCGTCCGACGTGGTGCCCCCTCCCAGGTTCTTCTTGGACCTCCTCTCTCGGTCCCGCTGCTCCTTCAGCTGGACCGGCACACGGACACAAAAACACTCAAAACCAGGCACATGATTTTCCGAGTGTAGAATCGACCAAATGCTGGGACAATGGACCAAAAGATAACAACAGTAAATGGCTTTGAGGGTCCTAACTATGCCTGTCTGAGACAGTTATGCTGTTACTTTCTCATGCCGTTTCCTGTAGCCATTACAGAGGGAAGGGACGTCTTTCTCATGTCTAGAGCATAAATGTTACTATACTAAAGGAAATTTTGAGCTATTAAGCAACAGTGAAAGGTCCATGAAATGCTTCTAGAGGAACTTAAGGGTCTGCTCTAATTATATACAGTATGCTGTAGATGTATACATTATTATACAACATATCAGTGGCAAAACCAAACTGCGGACCTCATCCTTCCGACCTATCCTTGGAGCCCCAATGGAGCTGGTTGGGTTGTGATAGGTCATCACTCACCATAGCCTCCATACGTGCCCTCCTCTCCTCCTCCTCCTTGCGACGCTTCATGTTCTCCAGGTCTTGCTTGGCCTCATTGAACGACTGCAGGAAGGTGTCAAAGATCCCGAAGAATTCGTCAGGCTGCATTTTGCCCTGATCTTCTCCAAAGTGCTTCAGGGCCTTTGAGAACTTCAGGGTTGAAAGAGGGACAGAAAGTCAGTGGGGGAAGTAGCACCATGCTGGTAGTGCACCGCCTAACCCCCCCCCCCCCCCGACCACAGTACAGCCATGTGCTGTCCTTGCCTTTGTCTAAGAAGGAATGAGAAGCAATTATTCAGCAAACACACACCCGCAGAGCTATCTGCCCCATCAGCTGCCCTGCCGAATCCATGTTCCATGTTCCCTGCCAGCCTTGTGTGGACCTCAATCAGGACTCTGCCACACTTACAAACTCCCTCGTAAAGGGACCAGTTCTACCCAGACTCGTGCCAATACCCATGTCTGGGGCACAGATGTGCTCCAATTAAAATGCAAAACTCGAATGCGACGGCATTTCCTCGGATTTGCTTGGCTTATCACGTTACATGTGAATTTGTCGTCCTCCACTTCGGCTTCCATGAGCACCCAGAAGTCTGCCTCACGCTACGGAGATCCTGGGCTAACTGCTAACTCGAATGCACATTCAGTTGACAAGCTATGGACTTGTTCCCCGTGATTTATGTTTTACTGTTTTATTATTGTTATTTTTATATATATATTTTACAAATTTAGGGCCTGCTAAAGTCAGGAAGAGCGAAAAGGGTCAGGTAATTACCATGAATAATTGTGTATGTTGGTATGCAGGCCCTGGCATTTAGCCGCAGCTAGCGCTTAGCCGGGCCTCACTTGGGGCACGTTATGTGGCTGCAGAAACCCTGCTTTATGTGTTTCAGGGCCCCAGGCTGCTCTTTATGTTTTCTTTACCACAGCCATCCAGACTGTCAGTGCAATATGTAATTCAGGGCCTGGAACACCAGCTCCTCCCCCTTCTTGTCCTCCCCACTCCGAATACACAGACATTTCCCCTGGCCCCAGGCCCGACATCCCCCCCCCCCCCCCCCCCCCCCCAAACACACCCAGCAGTACAGTGCAGGGCCTTTAAACATCCCATAATGTACTGGATTATGTGGGAGGGTTGGGGTGAAGGATCTTTTCTAAATAGTTTGTCATTAAAACCTGTGGACAGTAGCCCGGGAATCTTTGCCCGGCCCGGAGCTTTGAAAGCGAACACCAAGAAAGAAACCCAAAAAAAGTGTATTTATTTGTTCGCTTGGCAACGGCAAGAGAGAAATTGGCTCAGCAGAGACGCACTCCTTACCTCTCCCTCTTCCCTGACCCCATCTGAATCTTTATGGCCTACACTCCCAACACCAGGATACCAAGATATCCTACGTTAATGCTTGGTTAAGAAGAGAAACTAGCACCGATAGGTGATTAAGTTTGCATCACCCTCTGGTACATCCCATCAAGAAAGGTGTCATCACCATCAAATCCCTTTGCCATTCTGTCGCCATGCCAACTTGTCTGCCAGCTCCATGGTCCAGGGCGTCACCAGTGCTCCCATGCCACGACCCTGCCTCCCCCTAAACATTGGAATGCTCACCCCCCTCCCTAAACAGCCGGGAACGGGAGGCGGGCTAATGACACCTAGCCAGCTACGAAAGTATTTATTCATTTCTGGGCTTTGCAAACCTGGCCTGGCCAGGAGCTGGGAAGAGGAGATGGATGGGAACAGTCTTGGGAAAAAATTCTGTCCTTCATGCCAGAGCCAGTAGAAGCATGACGTTGTCGGTGCAGGACGAAGGACTCAGACTGGATGTTGCTCCCCCCCCCCCCATCTGGCTCTGCTGCCCCCCCCGTGCATGACCAAGGCACCACACTCACATCCCGACCCTACTACACGCAGCATGCTCTTATGTCCACAGGAAGCAGCAGCTGTTTCTTCTTCTTTCAGAAAAACTCAATTAAATATGATAGAATTGGCGCTACACAATAGTTCTGTTAACAGAGACAATAAAGGGGACACTTGCCCTCCCCCTCCCCGAAAACAGAGGGCGGGAGGGCCTCTGTGTCAACATCATAAATTACAGCACATTTGGCGAGTCAGTGGTACAGGGCCCCGCAGGGCATCTCGCATACGCTGCTTCCCCCAGGATTTTGGGCATCTCAGGGGTGAATCATTTTCTCCTCGGTCCAGTATCTGTGCTAATGATGTATCTGAGATTTTGGGGTGGGGCGGGGGGCCTGTCTGTAACCTCTGGGGAAGTAACGGCTGAGGGGGAAGAGGGGCTTCTTTGTTTCCGAGGGCCGAATGTAACTCGGGCTGATGGTTTTCGTCCGACGTCCAATCGCTCTTTATGCTTAGGCTCTCCTTGAACAAATAATCTGAGAAATGGGAGGCAAAACATGGTGGGTTTCTGTGGTGGCAAAGGAAGCCCAGCCGCCCACAAGGACCTGTTTGTGTTCGGCCCATCACCTTAAAGCCAGACCTACCCCCAAGCACCATCTCCACAGACCCTACTGCCATCGCAAAAATGGCCTCCTTTAACGCTGCGTGAAAAGACAAGCATGCCAAAGCAGAATGTGGGAAATAAATCTGACACAGACAGAGCAGAAAAAGAAGGGAACCTAAAAAAAGAATTCGAACCTGGTGACGGGCTTCCCTGGGATGTTTAAGTCATTACATGGGGCTCGAATTCACAAAGCCTCCTCTCTTTCCTCCCTCCATTGCCCTCCCTGTCGGTCGTGTTCCCACCACTCCGTCGTGTACAAACTTGGCAGCACCTCCTGCATCTTTAAAGGGTTGACACTGAAGCCCCATAGGGACAGTCCAAGTCCGTCCCCCGAATGAGAGAAAGGGGGAAAAGTGGACCCATCCTGACAAAGAAGGGCTCCGTGAGCCGGCCCGGCATGGCCCGGCATGACCCGGGAGTGATGTCAGCCAGTCACGTGCCCGGGTCTGGGAAAGTCCCTCCTTTGTGGTAACTGCTTCCATAAAATGGTGCATTGTGAATGGGATTGTAAATGTACTGGAAAACACTATTGGACTGAAATGTGCATTCTCAGGTCCGATTTCATATTAGCTGCAATTTTTTATTTTATTTTATTTATTTTATTTTGGGGGGTTAGCCCTTTGTAAGGTAGGAAGGCCTGGAGCATAGCTGTAATAGAGCGGGGGGGGGGACTGGCCCATATGCAAACATTGCTGCAGGTTTAAAAGCTTCATCACTGATGTGGTTTTCGACAGGCTAGTCAAAGGGATTTAATTGGGTTTTGGGGTTAAAACAGAGTGAACATCAGACCCTCATCAGAAGGCTAGGGTGGGGGTCCGATTGGCTCTGTACAAGGCCCAGTACAGAGACTGAAAGATCCAGAAGACCCTTGAGTCAGAACTGACATGCCTGAAGCACAGTCCCACTGAGAACGGGGGAGGGTGCAGTACCTTATTCTTGGCTTCATTCAGCTGGTCCTCCAGCTCAGAGAAGCTGAAGCTGGCCACCGTGATGAAGTCGCTGACCACCGGGACAAACTTGTCCCCGTGATCCCGGGGACGTCGTTGCTGGTACTGCAGCTCCTGTCAGGAGAGAGCGGGGGTCCAAATCACTCAGGGACCCTCAGCAGTTGTGGATTAATTACAGCTGCTATCCTAGCTTGCGTCATGGCTTTGACTGAGCCAAGAATGTGTCCAGAAATGCAAATCATCATCCCCCTCATGATTGTGGAAATGCAAATGTCTTTTCTTAGGGCAGCGCCGGTGTTTAGAGCCACTAAAAATCACGCATTTGCGGGGGCCCCCTGTTAGCTACAAGCAGTCACTGTACGCGGGGGGGGGGGGGCCCGGACACAGCCCTTTGCCCCTGCCACACCTTGCATTCATCTGGAATCAAATTAGGCCCATCGCTCAACATTCCCCGTGCCCCCCTCCCATGTTTACCATCCATACACCAAATGCGCTGATGCCCAGTGGCTTAGCTGGGCTGAGATCAGGGTCTGACTTCTAACTTGCCAAGCCTGAGCCAACGATGCTTCTGGCTCCTTGCTCATTTATGACCATGAGAACTGCAATGATCCTTCTGCTCAAAGGCCAAGCCGTGAGACACATGAGAGCCCGGTTTGGGGACGCCGTCATGCCCCCCTCACCCCGCCAGTCTGGCCTAAATGGGCAAATCCGGCTCCCCCTGATTTCATCATGGCGCACTGCAGCCACTAAACACTTCTCCCTGCATCCAATTTCTGTTTCTTGCTCTTCCAAAACATAATTAAAGGCATGGTAAGTGCTTGTGGCCAGAAGCGAAATCTCCGGCTTGTGGCCGATCTCCAATCGGTGTGGCCCACAGTGGAGGTGGGTTGTTCATGGTAGCTCTTGGCTTCTCGCTAGCTTTTCTAGACGCGTCTTAAGGACGGTATGTTATTCGCAAGTGAAATCAAAATCTTGGTCAAGTAAAATAATCTTGAGTAACTTCTTTTCCAGTTATTAAGCCCTCCATTCTTTCTGTCTGGAAGGTGACCAGGTGAGCGTTTATCGCCATGGTAATGCGTGACATTCCCTTATTGCTTAATTATAGATGAGGGTTTTGTTTGGTTGGGCAGTGTATCGCATTATATCAGTGCTGTCTAGCATATCTCAAGGATAATTAACTGGCGATTAACAACAGGTTGATATAATTGGACATGCCTACAGAATTTAATTGTCCAAAAACCGGCTCTGAAGGGCGAGCCGATCATTAGCATGTCTGGTTAACCTACCGCCTCCAGAGCTTTCAGTCCACTTTTAATGCTGTACACCTCCTTTTCCAGCTCAGCCAGACTGAAAGAGAAGATCAGAAAGCAGACCGTCAGAAGGAAAAGATATCAATGCTTAGACATGCAACGCCAACGTGCTGCGATGAGAACAGGCTTCCGTGAATCATTCAGAGCAAAGCATGCAAGCTTAGCTGACCATTCTGTCTGCTCAGCAGATTCTGCAACTTAATGTTTGTCTCAGTCTGTTTTTTGTAGATGAAGTTCCTCTTTGTCGGACCTGATTTGCAGGTGTAAAGCTCCACCAGTATCTAATGGAGCCCGATCTGCAAGACATCTGTTCAGCAGGACAGTTCGTAGCTACTCACTTGACTTTGGCGGCCCCCGGTATACTTTGAAGGTCCTGCTGAATGTGGAGGATGTCTGGGTAGTGTTTCTCAAAGATCATGATCAGATAGTGAAGCATAGTGATGTTTCTGCAGCACACAGAAAAACAAAAGTCACCTATGTTGTCCATATACCCAGTGTTATAATCCTAATGCCTCAAGAAGCAGCCCCATCCTCAACACCTGTGCCCACTGACCTGTCGATGCTGGACTTGGTGTCGGCGATCTTGTTGAGGCTGGACACCTTGAAGCCATAGGCGTTGCCCCGCTGACCTTTGTTCATGAAGTTTCCGAACGCCAGTACGACCTCCAGGGTCTGTGTCAACCGCTTGCTCCTCATCACATCCCGGGAGGCACACAGGATTGCTGGACGAGGGGGAGGACAGCGTGAGAAAAAGGGAGCGATATGAGGAGCAACCGAGATGTCTTACTGCTCACCACAAGGAGCTGAAACATGAGATTTGTGTTCAAGTAAAGCACATGACGTTCTACAGTTGGACTCCAAAGGTGACCTCACTGCACCTGTGCTACTGATATTGGAGAAATTGCACTGGAGGGGAAAAAAAACTCGTCCGCTTGCTTCACTCAGGGAGCCAGACAAAAATGTTTCAATCCACAGCCCTGCATACGAGTAAACAAACAAAACTCATCCAATGTGAACAACCTTGACTCCAAGTGCAGACGCGAAGTAACGGGCATGAGGAATATGCAGTTTCCCCCGAAGTCGGACAACAGAAAAACAAAGCAGAAGAACAGAATATTCCCTGAGGGAATTCCACTGGCAGGGAGCAGGGACCGGCTCGCCCGTAAGGCCGAGAGCGGGTGCCATGAACCGGGGCTGACCCCGGGTTCCAGCAACGGCCCTGTACTCACGCTGGGATTCTCATCACAGGGCTGAAAAATCCAAGGGGGAAGTGGGAGGAGGGGCAGGGGGCAGCCCCGTGAAGAGGACGACAGCGCCATGTCCTGCCTAAAAAACAACAGAGCTCCCAATGGGAGGTGGCACTGATCCAGGTCACATGGCCGCCCGCTCCCGTGAAAACCTCAGGCCGGATGTGAAGGTAATTAATACACACACACACACACACACACGCACATGTAGGGTAAATATATCCTTATGGGGACCGCTCATTCATTTCAATGGGAAAAATGCTAACGCTAACTATGACAACCTTAACCCCCGCCCTGCCCTAACCATAACCATAAGTAACCAAACAAAATACAAGAATTTTTGCATTTTTTGTTTTTTCATAGCAGTCACTGATTTTTTTAAAATAGAGTTTTCCCTTATGGGGACCAGGAAACCGGTCCCCATAAGGGAAAAAAACGGATATTTATCACGTTATGGGGACATTGTGTCCCCATAGGGATAGGTAAACCCGCTCGCACACACACACACAATGTGCCTGGGTATGACGGCCTTCTGAATCACAGTCAATTTAAGAATCGTAAAGGTCTGTAAAAATAAGAGTAACAGATGATATACTCCCGGGTCCATCGCATCCATGGTGGGCCTCTGTGATTCTAGCTAATTTATGCTTTAAACTTGAACCTAGACATGCTGGGAAGAGGGTGGTATTTTGTTTTCCTTCTCTGTAAAAGTCCAAATAACTTGTTTTGGGGATTGGGCCTTGTCACAGAACTGTGGATTTGAAGGCCTACAGGCTCATAAGGAGTGCTTGTTAGGGACCAGAGTTGTCCCATGATTACTCATTAACATCGCCCCCCTGTGGCCAGGGCTATAATTAATTCCTTTTCCTTTTTCATGTGCATGTTGACTTCGTTTCATTCTCCCTGTCCCCATTTCCCCCAGTTTTAAGGAGACTGATGTGGTGAATAAATACAAATTTGGACACACAGAGGCAAACTCGCCTTAATGCCGATGGAAGTGCAGCCTGGTCTGTGATTAAAGAACCGCAGTGCGCCAAAGCATCCCAGTTAGGAACGGATCAGCCGACTGTGTCACATGATCTATGTCGGCTAACGTGCTGGATCTGAGGATGCCTGTTCCTTAACTGACTGGGCCAGCTGGCTGACGCTGAGTCTCTGGGACTGGATCCGTAAATGGATCAGGGATCCTTTGATCCATTAGTGGTGGTCTTGGACTGAGGAAAATGTGCACTTTTGTGTAACCGCTGCCTGTACGTGTGCATAGACGTGCATGCAGATGTAGATGCTGCGTTCTGTATATTCATACCCACACACACAGGCTGGGTGCCCCCAGTGCAGCGGCTTCCAGCTCTTTGAACTGCGGGGCCTGCTTCATGAGAGAGACTGTCCCCTCTTAACGCCTGCCAGCTTTCCAAAACAGCTTCCCTAGAAACCCAGTTCTTTATTTTCGCTGGAGGATTGGAAGTGTGAGGTCTCTGTGCATGAGTGCACACACACACACACACACACACACACACAAAGCGAGCATTCACGCACATGCACACACACACTGGGACCTCCGTCTTCTGAGTGGACAGAAAGCTTAGTAAAAAGCCCAATTAGCAACCAGCTTCCTCGCGCGTTTCCTCTCGTTTCCTGTCGTCTTGTGCCGGATGCTGTTTCAGCATCACCTCCCTGCCTGCACCTGGCTTCTCGCTTTCCTCGTGACAGCAGATTTAAATACGATCACTAGTTTATCCTGTAGACCAGCTGTGGGGAACCTGTTCCATGGAGGGCCGGTGTGGGTTTTTGGGATGGCCTCTCAATCAGCCAATAACAGTGGGTCTCCTGGATTGGAGTTGAGAACCACTGTTTTATTATTGGCTGATGGAGAAGCCATCCCAAAAACCCGCACCCACACCAGCCCTCCATGGGGCAGGTTCCCCACCCATGCTGTAGACATTAGCTTGCTTTCTGACCTACCTTCCACCTTGGGCTTGGCTTCTGCGAGGCGCTCTGCAAACTTCTTCTTGAAGAACAGGGATTGGAGTCTCTGTTGGTAGTGGTCAATTCTGGAGGAGGAGAGGGAGATGAAGTGTGAGGTGGTTCAGCCTTGGGGATGTGGAGCCATTTCAAAGCCTTTCTCACGGGAAGCTGCTTAGTGACCCTGTCAAGCACTGGTGCTGTGTGATATCAAAGAGGAGACCAGGCATATTAAATGGCTGAGTCAGAGCTGGAGAAAGCGAGAGCACTGACTAATGTTCGCCAAAAGAAAAACACCACCAACGCAGTGATGCCAGGAGATGAATCTGTCAGTAGGTTGTGATGAAGTGGACCCACTCAGTGGGATGTAACGGCAACGTCACGTGAGCGGCTCTGCGGGGAATTCCCCAATAATTTCTCAGAGGGCATTGGCTGAGTTGGATTTTTTTTCGCTTTATTGTCTATGGAGCTTCTAGATATTTTGAAGTTAAACTGAGAAAGAGCAAGCTCTGATTTTACAAGCCTTAGAAGTATGTTTGTGGCCACGGTAAGTTTTTCAAAGGAAATGAAATCCTTTGTTTTGGGGGCGGTACTGAGTTCAAATGGTCTAAAGGATAGCACTAAGAAGTTTCTCATTGTCGAGAATGATGTCATAGGTGTGCCTGAGTTTTGCCTAAGCTACAGAAGCAGAATGACCGTTGGTTGCCCTGTTGCCCTAGTAATTGCCCCCACCTGCTCATCTCGAACAGGAAGCGGTCCGCTCGCGCCATGCGCTCCAGCTCCTGTTTGTGCTCCTCCAGAAGATCAGTGTCGCTCTTCTCTGGAACAAACTTCAGTAGCTGGGAGGAAGCCAATAAACATACTGTATCAGCCACACCGCAAACGCCAACTGGCCAAACGCCCCCGTTCATCCCAAACCATCTGGGTTTTATATAACACTCGCTTCAGTCTGAGATTATCCCCAACGATGATATCGCAGATTAAATCTAAATTAACTTCTGATAGGGATGAGTCTTACGATATTTGAGCACTCAATGGAACGTGGTCTATGGATCATGTCAGAACCTTGGGCTCATGGTCCGGATGAGGCTACCTGCTCAAGCATATCCTTAGCCAGCTCCTCACGCTCATCCATCTCCAGGATCGCTCTTTTGATCTCCTCATTGCTCATCTTCAATCTGTTCAGGGTCAGAAGTTATTTGCTGCTGGGTTGTAACTTTTGCCCAAAGTAAGCGCCCTTTCTCAAGGGCACAGCAGCAGGACACGAGCTAGAACTGGAATCCACAGCCTGCAAGGTACAAGGCTGAGCCGCTAACTGCTACTTCTGCACTTCAGCTTCGGTGATTCAATTTCAAAGGACATACTGGGATATTACACAGAATCTGTCAGCAACCTTGACGTTTTGTCAAAAATGTGTCAGTTTAAGCTGCTACCGTGGCAGATGTTTCTCCTGGTGGGCAGTTTCTCACAGCGTGCCCCCCCCCTGCTCCCCCAACACATGCTAATTGGACCATGTCGGCAATGATTTCATTGACCTGACATCTCATCAATGGGGCATAAGCTATGCAAAGCTTATAGCAGATCAGATTTCAACTCCCCAGAGAAGTTATTTAAGTAAGCATGACCGAAATTTGAGAGGGCTCCTCACTTGTGTGGAAATACACACCCACGCAGAGAATGGTAGCTGTGAGCCAGCCTGGGGCTGTGGGGGGTCAGTGTGATCAAAGCTCACTGAGCTGAACCCTCCTCTATAGCTCCAGTTGCACCACACCATTGACTGGGCCCTGACCACACTGCCATGTTCTTAGAGCCCTAGTTCCCTGTTCACAGCTTAGCCAAAAATGTACCTTCTGTCTGCTGATGTAACTTTAGCCACCTCAGCTTTTAATCTAAGCTGAAACATATTTCACAACCAGAAAACAAACCCATCACTGAAAGCAATCAGTTCATATAGTGGAATTTCGAATACGGGCTATTCGAATCTCTTTATTTAAAAATCTGAGCAACCTCAAAGCAGGAAGTGACATCGCACACAGTGATCTGTGATGCGATGCACGTCTGGAGTATACTTTGGAGTCCTTTACACATCCCACACACCCTTTGAGAACATGATACAAAGCTCCAGGCGCTCAGGCTGGGACTCACTTGGAGAGCAAGATGACGCAGTTCTGGGCACGGCGGCCATCTATAACGGAGAGCTCCTTCACCTTGCGTGTGCTAAGGTAGAGGTCGTCCATGGAACCTGTCTCTTTCTGCAGGCGGAGGGAGAGGAGATGTGGAAATGCCGGTAAGATCTCCCACATCAAAAACCCACTGAGTGCAGTATTAACAAAAATCAGACTAGAGGGAGCATAGCATCTGAAAGGTAGCTCTCACCTCTAATGACAGATTTTTAGCAGTGAGAAATGCTGCTATATGTATATAACCAGCAGACGTCGGCTGCTCTCTGAGCCCCTTTTATTGGAGCTGGGCTGTAAAGTGACGCCGGGCTCTTTGAAAGAGAGCTCATTTCTTCCAGACCGTGCTGCCCTCTGAAGCTGCTTGGCAGGTCATCCATGGATTTGCTTCAGTGAATCACAGCTTACCCCCTGGATGCTCACCCCGCCAACTACTTCTCGTTCCCCGTGAGGTAAACATGTTCTGTTCTGACTATCCACTTTGCCCCGCTTACAACAGAACCGGGGGAACTTTCCTAGTCCCGTATCCCGAACACGTTTCACTAGAAGGTTCTAACACAGCTCCTGCTTTCAAGCTGCAGTAGAAGCTATGTCATGCTGCAAGGACTCACCTGCTTGAAGGATTGGTTAGTGAGCAGCTCCTGCCCAGGCAGTCGTGGAGCGCAGAGAAAACAAAATTCAAACACATGCAGTAGTTAGCAACCCAAGCGGCCATAGCTGGACTAGCAGGGCTTTCAATATGTATAAAGAGGCTGGCTGGATGACTCCGGGGGCCTGGAGGGCTTTACGGGCTGATACATGTTATCATTCTTAAGAAGGAGGACACAGAAAATGAACAACCAAAGCAGATATATTGGTATTTATTTTATAATTGCAAGAATTCATCAGCTGAAAAGATAAATTGGAAACTGGGTTACATTGTGTGTCTCGTTTGTCTGGCCCCCACCTTGGCAGCCAATGAGAAGACCTCAGCCAGCCTCAACGTTGCACTAACAAACACTACGGCATGCAGCAGATCTATGCAGTCAGCCATGGTGGGAAGAGCAGCGGCTAATGACAGCCTGCAGCAAAAACTCCAGTCACACAGCAAGGCATCATGGGTAGTGACATCATTTAAAGAAACAGTACTACAGGATTGCAAATGATCGTATCACCAGCATGGAAGGACTCAGTACCAGAACAGGAAACACCCGGGGTCCAGTCATTTTGAGCAACCCCACCATGCACATCCCAATACCTGCTGTCTCTGGTAGGCTGAGAACGTCTTCTCGATCTCCTTCAGGTCCAGGATTTTGAAGGCACGCAGGTCATCGATGTCGTGCCATATAGTACCGTTGATTTTGTTCTGGGTGGAGAAAATGGCTGGACTGTGACACTGGGATACTGTGAGACTGGGATACTGTGAGACTTTCTGAAGTAAGACTTCTTGGTGGGGGTCTCACACTGTTGTTATTAATGGGTGATGGGGTGTGGCGTGTGCCTCAGCGGGTTCGGAGACTGTCTCTGATCGCAAGGTCACTGGTTTGCAGATTGATTTCACTGTTTAGCCCTTGACTGAGACCCTTAGCCTCCAGTTGCTCCAGGGATAAAATGGATAAAATCTTTACAATTCTCTACTTTTTTTACTTCTATGTCTGCTTTACATTCAAAAGCTATTGACTTACATGTGCTGTTTGACACAATCGATGGCTTCCCTGACATCTCCCCACCAAATCCGACCGGCTGAGAGACGGAGCACTGGGACTCACCTCCCCCAGTTTGGACCAGTTGAAGGACTTGAGGGGGTGGGACGGCTGGGGGATGCTCTTGGTGCGCAAACTCAGCCCTGAGCTGAATGCCACCGGCCCCGGAGGTGGGGGCGCCGTTGGGGCAAAGAGGGGAGGGGCTCCTGGGGGCGGAGGTGGCGGGGGTGGGGGCGGACAGGAAAAGGGAAGGGGGGGTGGCGGAGGAGGGAAGTCGGCCATCATGGGTGGTGGAGGCGGAGCCAGAGGGCCCCCTGGTGGTGGAAGAGGGGGCAAAAAGGAACTCCCTCCCTGAAAGGGCAGGAGAACCGAAGATTTACTGCTACTTTTAAGATGAGTTAATAACTTCCAGTGCTGATAAAGGTAATGCGTTGCTTTTTCTTAGACTTTTCATTAATTCTGACACCGCAATGGGAAAATGACCAATGGTTTGTAATATAAATTGATTTCTATACTCAACGTACACAATAAAACATTTTTTGATGATATCGCAACATGATTGGATATGCCGTTAATCCCCAAGGTGTGAAATTAATCACAAAGAAAATAATTGCTTGTATGATTCTCCCATTGGGGTATCAAAATTAGTGCATTTAAAGTTAACGCAATGAAATGCATTTTAACTTCAACATGTTAGTGTTAATCTTAATGCGTTACTTTGAAAGTCATAATAATTAACACAGGCATACAAAGAGACAGATACAGAAAATCTGTCATCATCCATCCATTCATCCATCCATTCATTCACCTTAACTGCTTATCCTATTTGGGGTCACGGGGGTCCAGAGCCTATCCTGGAGGTTACGGTTGGTCAGGGTGGGGAGCAACCTCCACACACATAGAGTGACAGCAGAGACTGGAGCCCTGGTGCCAGAGGTGTGAGGCAACAGTGCTAACCACTGCACCACCGTGCACCACCGCGCCTCTTATATCTGTAATATGAGGGGAAGCGGAGGGACAGGCCTGCTCACCGTGATGTCACCGATTCGTGACGACAAGTTGACGACTTGCTCGCGTGCCGAACGCAGCTCCACGCCCTCCCTTTGCAGCTTGTCCTTCATCTTGTTGAGTGTCTTCATCATGTCCTCCTTCTCTTGTGTCTTGGTCTCGCACTCCCTCTCCTTGCGTTCCAGACGGGCCATGAGCTCGGCGTGCTCTGGGGGAGGGAGCGGAGGGGGAGGGCGGGAAGATGCTCATTGTTACGCTGATGTTACACCATGGAGCCTTCCGATATAGGGTAACACGCATACTTTTCTAAGCTCGGGATACAGGTTTTAGCCAATAACCAGTGGAATATGTTGCATTTCAGACAAATTCCAGCAGGAGGCAGGGTGGGGAAGATGGCACGGAGAGATACCTTTCCTGAACTTCTCCGCCTGATCTCTCCACTGTTTCACCTCGTTCTCGTTCACCAACCTGTCAGCACAGAGTGACCATATATGGGTATGTCAGTACCGCCATTCGTATGACCATGTCCGTCACACTGTCCGTGTCCCAACACAACGTCGGGACGACAGTAACACAGGCGAATAGAATGGACCCGTTCTGTTTCCTGAAGGACCATGGAGACAAATGCGGTTTCTAAACCATCAGTCATCTTCTTTGCATGTTGCCTGAAATGATTCATTGTTAAAGCCGTACCTTCGTGTTGCACAGCTTATACTGGAACTACCCCAGCAAATATATACTGAGTTACAGTGAAAAGATTAATTTCAGTTCCCTAACACTGGCTGATAGTGACAGCGACAGCATGCAGTTATAACATGTAGCACAGACGCTTGTTTAGTACTGGAAGGAATTACCCATAAGTGCAAGATTCAGATAAACAAGTTGTACAGATGTCTGGTTAGTACTCCATGCTCACCTTCTTCAGACTAAACAGAGCTAAAGGAGGATGGAAAAGGGCAGAAGTGAGGGGGAGGCACCAGGGGAAGAAGAGAAAATGAAAAGTCGAGGGGACGAAGGAGTCTGTTATTGCTTCGGTGTTTTGTTTAGCAGACCGACCGTGTCGGCTCAGTGGCATATGCACCTGCTCTCGCGCCTCACTGGTCTGTGCGGGAGCTGGTGAGTTAATGAGGACGTCACGCGACGGGAGCCAAAACAGCCCGTGACCCATACAATCCCCTGACCTCTGAAACGTAGGCGAGCTGAAAGCATCGAAGCTAAGTGAAGCTAGCGTCCTGCTCCTTTGCCTGCTTTGTGTAAAGCTATCCTGCTGCAGTGTTTAGAATCGCAGAGTGCTGAGGAATTATCTAGCTGAAGGCCGCACTTGTCCACGTGCATCTAGTTTGAAGACAGAGGCTGAGCTCGTGCCCCGACCATGGCTGGTTGAGTCGGATTAGCGAGTCCTGATCCCAGCTGCCGAAGCTCCTGCTCTCTGTTCTTCTGTATCTAAAACAATCATGTGGTGTGAGGCTCAGTGGGTTCGGATGTTGTCCCTGTGATCAGAAGGTCACTGGTTTAAATCCTGGGGTTGGCAGAGTGATTTCACTGTTGGGCCTTTAAGCCCCAATTGCTCCCAGGACTGTCTGATCCTTTTCCCCCCCAAAGCAGACGTCACGTCAGATGGATGCGTCAGCTAAGTAAATTAATTGATTTTAAATCTGCCCTCAGATCTGTTCTTGCTGAGCGTTAGTCTCTCCCATCTTTCCTTCCATAATGCCTGCTGCCCAGGCTGCAGTCTTCCAGGCGTCGGTACGTGTTTGTCTGTTTGTCCAGCTCTCCATTGCGTGCCAGAAGAGCTAGCCTTTGAACGGATCAGTGTTTCCACGTGGCCTGGTCAGGTCTGAGCCCCTCGAGCATCCGGGCACCAGCGGATGCTGGGCCTGCTTTTGATCTGCTGGGATCCAGCTGGTTCCGGATGCTGTGAAGTCTGTCCTCAGCATGAGAGACTCCATCTTCAAAAGGCTAATTTTAGCTGTTTTCAGCACCAGCACCGACGTCTCAGAACTCCGTTAACTACTTAAAATCGCCAGTATATTGAAAAAATCATCTGGTTCAAATCAGGAGAGCATTACAGCCAAAGAGACTCCTTTCAAATATTATGCGAAAGAAGGACTATTTGGACTGTGATGACGAGCTTGAGCTATAATGTGATATAATTTAAGATTAATAAGCTATGGAAACAAATGGCGTGAAACTTCCTGGAAACGCTTAACGGGACGTAATGCGTGACCGAGAGCCGGATTACTGTGCTGGTGTGACGCTAGCAGTGGAAGGGGAGCTTGCACTCACATGCGGATGATGTTCTTCACGCTGAAGTTGTCCAAGGGCGCCAGGTCGGGGTCCTCGCCCTTCTCGTCCTGCAGGACCATCTGCTGCAGAATGCGGTCCAGCAGCTGCCATTGCTGCAGGCTGCTTGCGCCACGCTTATCTGAGGCGAGAGAGGTCAAAAGTCACAGGTCACAGGTGGACATGGGTAACGCTGCTGGAGTGCAGTGACAACAGCATTAGGCTGGTGAACGACAGCCTCACTGGAGGTCAACCTGACTCTCTTTTTCAATCAGGCTAGTGAAATCGCTCTTTCTCCATGTTATGTCAGATGCAGCCTCAGTTGAGAGAGTCACAATCAACTTTGTCCATATCTACTGCACAGATGTCGTCACCTGACTCGGGCTAACCTTCATGCTTGGCATGGAATCTAACTGACTGAAAGACCAGGACACGGTTCACATGGTGGCAGACTAACACTCACAAGGCATCATGAGGCAGTGCTGGAGGATGGAGAGCATGTAGGGATATGCGTCTGTGTGCGTCAGCTTCTTCTTGATCACCTCAAACATCTGGGTAGCACTCTTCGTGTCCACATGTTCCTGTGTGGGGGAGTTCCATTCTCATCTCATCTCTCCCAGCTTGAACTTTAATCGCAAATGAATTATTTAGCGCTCATTTTAATTACAGCTACTCCTTGCAAAAGGAGCTTAATCCTCCACTGTCAAAGCAAAATAGAATGTGGTTCTCTGGTGTTTGCCATGGTGGGCACTGTGCCACCGTGGTCCAAAGATAAGCTCTTGTCCGCTCACCATGTCGAAACGCTTGGCTAATTCTAAGTCATCTTCATTCCGCACCATCTCAAAGAAATCCAAGTGTCTGCAGATAGAACACAGATGGTCACACTCTGGCCGTTACCATGACCCAAGATTCGCATGGTAACCGAGAACGAGGGTTCAGGCTTCTTCGCTACCTGTCTAAGGTGGCGTTTTCATGTTCCCTCAGCTTTTCAATCACAGGCTGGATCCCCAGCATCAGGAACTCGTACCTGAGATGGAGGCGAAACTCTAGACTGTCCTGGTGAAACATACAGCATCAGAAATATGAGTATACATGAAATTACACTAAGGCAATCATGATGGAAGCAGGATTAGCCACAGGACTTAAATTTGTGAAATGTGATACTGGAAGATATACAAGCTACTAGCCCAATGTAATCTCGAGCCATTAGCATGGCCGTTGCCCTCGACTTACCTCTCCTGCCCCAGCATTGAGAACAGCATTGATGAAAGACATAATGGCAGTCTTCAGGTTGACCTCGTCTCTGTAGCGTCCGGTACTCCGATCCAGCTCGTTGAGCAGCGTCTATGGGGAGGGCCAGGGTAAGTTCTGCTGGACAAACCCCATGTGATGCTCCAGGCAAGCTTCACCACCGGCAGCCCCCCCCCCCCCCCCAAAAAAAAAAAATTCACTGCCCATTTTAACTTTGTCTGGTGACCTAGGCGAATAGGGTTGAGCAGCGTGACTCTACCTGAAAGCGGGTCCTCTCCGCTGCATACTTCTGGTAGTGGAGCATAGCCTGTAGGACTTTCTTATGACCGTCAGGCACCAGGCACACGGCTCCCAGGATCTCTAGCACGGCCACTTTAGTCTTGATGTTGTCTTGGCGCAGGCTCTGGGAGATGGTGTTGATGCTCTCCGGGTGTGCCAGTACGTGGGCACGACCCTGTGAGTTGTTCATCAAGGCCTTGATGCAGCCGATCACAGATGTGTGGATGCGGCTCTCCGACGTCTCGTAGTCCATGCTCTTCAGGAAGTTCAGGAGGCAGGTGAGGCCGTCCAACTCTATGAATCGTGTCACAAACCTGCACAGGATGGAGGAAGGTGTGACGTGGGCTGTCAGCAATTAGCACTGCAGTTATTAACTTATGGAAACTCAACACACAAGGCAGACAAGTACAGTCAGGTACACCTGGACCATCTAATGGAATTCCTTCATCTTCATCTCCATTTAATCACACTTATACGTCACCTGCTCAGACAAAATTGCTCATGGTCTGTACTCAAGTATTCTTCTGTTATGTTTAATTATGTTGTCCTGAATCTAACCTCAAACTCATCACGTTAATGACTGTAGCACAGTTTTCCAACATTTGAGATAATTAAAGGTTAATTAAGAGATTAAAGTGTTCTCCGTGTGAGTGTTTTCCAATGACCTACTAATACACTAATATGTGAAGCAGATGTCTAGCTGGAAAATAAGGGGCCTGACTTTTGTTATATTCACCAAATCCATTGGTCTCTCCCTTGTGAGAAGAATCTGGCCTAGTTGAAGAATATTAGCTTGGACCAAAGGTGGGAAAATACGCAGTGAGTGATGGGGGACACATTGTTTTGACATCATTTAACATCAATGGTCTAGGTTTCACCCATGTCTAAGTCTGACTCCTTTATTATATAATCATTCCCACATTTCTCTAGTCTATGTCTCACCTCAAGTGTGTCATTTGGACACGTCAACTCTATCACCATTGTAACATAATAAAGCTGGACACCAGTGACACAAAGCTTGAGAAAAGTGAGGATCTCTGATCAAAACGAACATTGAATATGGGTGACAAGTCTTATTTTGATAATTATCATTTCCAGTAGCGGCCCTAGCTGGTGTGGTGCCCTAGGCGAGCATCACCACTGGCACCCCATGTCGGAGGCAAGAGGAACTTTGCTGGAAAGTCTTTTCCTCCTCAGAAGTTGGTGCCCTAGGCGGCTGCCTATGTCACCTATAAGATTGACATTTATGTGTGTTACTGTGACTGTGGTATGTTTTTCTTGTCAAAAGCAGTGTTCCAGGCTTGACTGGCAACATGAAACCTTATGTTCAACAAAGCCATCACCTGGCTTGGACTCTCGACTTGGACTTCTGGAACATAAGCTCTTGCTGGTGAGCTTTCAGACCTCCATGGTTGAACTCAGGGGTTAAGCGGTCTCTACAGGCACTATTAAGCTGGATTATTCCTGGTCTTCCACCTTTCAGCACATGGAGCTTCAGCTGGCCTCAGATGGAGCCAGGAATGTTTGGCCCATTTGCAGGAGCACAGGCTCAGCCGTCCCATTTGACTGGCAGCTGGACAGCTGGGAGAGCACGGCGAGTTATCCCGGCTGGCCAGCCGGCATCTGACTGGAGGAAAGTCCACAGTAGGCCCGAGTCGGATGATCTGGTTATCTGACACTCTTGCTACTCTAACATACACACTTGCTCAAATTCTGGGCCTAGCTCCACTGGCGCCATATGTTCCTATTCTCTATAAAGGGCTTTCAATGCTGACAAGTTCTCAGAACTGAGAACAAACCGTTACAAGCACCGCTGGCCAGTCGCTTCCCCCCTCCTTTCGTTCTTTTTTTGGAGACAGCCATGGGAATTGATCTAAACAGATTCTGACCGACTCGAGCGTCTACTCCCCTCTATTTCACCTTCCTCTTCCAGCTCAGCGCCGTTTGGACGCACCCCCACATACCGTCTGAACCCGAGGTGGCCCCTCGCTCTGGAGACCCGCATACGATATGAGCTGGGACACAATGGAGGGGCTGAGTGTTTCTCGGACGCGGCCAAGGACTCGCGCTGCCCAGAGAAACATCCCAGTAAAAACAGAGACAATGGGAGAACAAAATGAACCAGGGCTTGGAAATTTGGGACCGGTTGGTCCCTACGGGATACCGGGGGCTGAACTGGGCCGGGGGGGCCTCAGCTCTTTGAAACAGCAGCTTAGCTGGTGCTGACAATGATCAGGGGTGACGAGATTATATTAGAGTGATGGAGAACAGGGCTGGGTGTCTGACACACACCGGCGACTGTGTGGGGAGGAGGGGGAGGAGGAGGAGCGTGGACCAGTCTTCAAAGGGTGAGAGGGGGAGTAATGAAACAGGCCCCGAAAAGAAACCAAAGCACACTGCCTGTTACTGACTTTTTCCTCTTGCCGTTTTTGACACCACTGATTGTCCAGGAATGGGAGGAGTTGCAAGGTCTTAGGCCTTGGTGACCTGGCACTAACCCCTGACCTTCAGCATGAGTTCATGGTGCTCCCCGAACCCCCGGCTGCTGCCGCTACTCATTTTCCATCAGAAGCATAGGAGAGGTTTTCATGTTTTCTTTTTTCCCCCTGTTCTGTTGTAGAGCGATACAGCGGCAGCCTCCAGCAGGACACATCTGGTCCGGTGGGAGACGGTCCAGCTCCTGAGTGAACTTTGGCCAGGGGAGCTGCTCATCAACGCAGCGCCAACTGGTGGCCGTCCACATCTGCCGGCTCAATTCCCTTACTCCCCTGCTCCCTGGCTCACATCTCCGGCACTGCTGGATTGACTGGACGGGGACCAGGAATCCCAGTTTGAGGACAGTTCTGATGGAGTAAAGTGACGATTTTATGAGGGTAAGTCAGAACCAGCACAACAGATGCACTAGTGGCCTCGTAGAACGTTCCGTGTCGTGTGGCCTGAACCACACAAAGCCACGTGTGTTGATGTGCAGCTCTGCACACACTCCTGCTCCTGATTGGAATCCCTTTGTTTCCCTATTCCTACTTATCCTACAAGTGCTTGAGATGGGGTGGGGGTCTGTAATTACACCCCTGCAGCAGGAACAGGGATGGGGGGGGAGTAGCACAGCTGGATTATTACCCCCTCCCCAGCCCTTTAAACCGCCTCCAACACAAACCGCTCCAGCTCTTGCTTTGAGCAGCATGATGTGGCTACCTCTCCTGTTTCTCTTTCTCCCCCTGCTTTCTCTCAGATGCTAACCCCCTCACCCCCCCCAGCCCGTGCCGATTGCCCCAGCGTGGGGGTATTGACACAGAACAAAGAGAAAACACTTCCACATCCAAAATCTCCAAATGTATGATATTAGGTTCCTGCCAAATATCTCGTAAAATCTCTGGATTTTTATCGGTTTATGCGTATCTCTCCATTTCAGAAGGTCGGAAAATAAACGTTGATGCTCGAGCTTGTCGGCTCGCAAGAAGCTTTCAAAGGGCACCGAGGCCGACAGCTAGCTGAGTGTCAGAGTGTTGCTTGCTTAGCCCCTGTCTGAACTTTGCTTTCCTTCAAACTAACCGGGGACCGTAGAGAGATCCTTCCCTTCCATAGCCTGAAAGCCATCATGCAGCCCCAGCTAACCAGAGTGGCAGTGCTTTCTGGACCTAAACCACTGGACTGCTTCCCAGATACATGTGTAGTATGTGTGCCTGTTGCATAATACGGTTCACTCAGCATTAGCTATCTGCCATAGATGGGCAGACCAATAAATGGTCATCTAACCATGGCAACAGTGACATTTAAGTTTAAGATTAAGATTCTGTTTTCAAACCCTGAAATATCCCATAAAGGTGTGCAAGGGTAGGTCACGCAAGCTAGCTTAGCGCTACTTCCTCCGAAGCTACTTAGCCATCTCCTGCCTGGTACGGTCACTCCTTTGCGGTTCATTTGCATGCTCATATTGGGTAAACACAAATGCATCTGTCAACAGTTGACAGAACTAGTCTGCGTTCCCTGGGGGGGGCACTCCCGTGTGACCCTTCTACGTCGTCGCCTAGTGCTAGTGTCCCACCCGCCCTCATCAGGGGCCAGTTACTAAGATCACAGGAAGGAAGGAATCACCGCAGTGCGATTAAAGGGCTTGTCAAAGCTTAGATAATGATCTCGGGAGTGCAGGCAGGGCTGTAGCAGTGGGTGTAAGGGGAGTGGGCAGATATACATTGTAATTGTCACTATAATCTTAAAGCTATGTTTGTAGAGCAGCTGGGGCTGGTATCTAATGAGGACCAGACTCTTCTTTCTTCTCCAGCCCATATATGCATGTAGTTCACTTAGCTTACAGAAACACACACACACGGACCTCAAGCCCCATTAAACTCAGAAGGACACACGCCACCGGAGATGAGATGCCATGACAGGGGTGGGGTTAAGGTCATCAGATGCTCAGGATTACCACATAAACGTATGGCAGGGATTGAAGACATAGACTTCCATGATCGCGGTGTGGCACAGGAAACGCATGTGGGCTGCATATTGAAGTAGTCCCCAATGTCAGCCTAGCCTAATGCCGGGTAATCTCTGTTTACCACACATCTGAACAATGGGGGCTGGGCAAGCTTTTATCTTCGCTGTCGTCGCATGTTAAATCGCATCGTGGGAGAGTATGCAAAGTTGTAAATATTTGGGAGTTCTATCCATGGTGAAAGGGCAGTCTTGGAAGTCTGTGTATGCCGTCCTCTGTAATATAACTCAATTATCTCGGTTCTGTTTGTGAGTGCAATTTTGTGTGGCTAATGGGGTCAAATAAATCTTCTGAGGTATTTTCTAGAAGTGGCTAAAAACAAGCCATGTGATTTGATTTCAAGCCTGGACACCAGTCTACTGAAACATAAACGTTTTCATGGAAGGTGACAGCAATGAAAAAACTGCAACTAATTTCCCAGTTACTGACAGTGAGATTTTATATGGTCTTCAAACATCCCACACATGCTGATATTTGTGTTCTTTGCACAGGCCTGGTCATTGTCTGCCTCAATTTACAAATAGCCCAAATCTAAACTGTTTATTGAGTCAGGGTTTACAAACGGCCATATTCTAATGCTGAGCTGAAGCCTATGGGATGTCTTACAGTGAGACTGGAATCAGTGACTTGGAACTTCATGAGTCAGACAATTTCTCTGAGGTTTTCTGAGTTAAAATGAACAATCATTCATCCTTTCATGGTCTGTGAATGTGTCTATAGAAGTTCAGGTTTCCGTCTGAGAGCAGCGTGTGTGAGCAGCTCATGGAGACTTACTCTACAAAGTAACTGTATGGCTTGATGGACCATAACACTCTACTTTTGAGATGTCCAATAAACTCAGCTATTCTACATCGGTGAGGATAGTCAGGTTCCAGGTGACTGTTCTCCAGTTGTTTTCTGCCTGATAATATCAAATTATTTTTCTGAGCATATCTTTGTCTTCACTAATGAAAATGCGAGGGCAGCTGGCTGATACAAAACTACTGCCTCTTCATAACCCCTGACGTCTGACTGTTGCCTCTCTTCTTCATAACCCCTGACGTCTGACTGTTGCCTCTCTTCTTCATAACCCCTGACGTCTGACTGTTGCCTCTCTTCTTCATAACCCCTGACGTCTGACTGTTGCCTCTCTTCTTCATAATCCCTTCCTCTCATGGCAAAATGATCAAATCCTGCTGTTGCTGCCGCACCAGCCAAGCCCGACGTGGCAGTGCAGTTCTGGGTCCACAGGCCGAGGGAATCTCTCGCCCCGAGACAGGCGTGCAGATACATACACCAAGAACAGCCCCGTTATTGTTTCCTGACTGATGAGCTCTCGACTCGCAGCTGTCGTCCTGCTTCTTGCAGTTAGGGAACTTGTGCTTGTATTCTGGCGCGACAGAAAAGCGAAAGTGTTTCTCTTTTAATCGGGGAATTGTGAGAATGCCAGAGCTGGCTCAATCTGAAAATATCATCCCCCCAAACCTCGGCTCCGCCACGTGGGAGATGGCTCATCTACAAAGGAGGGGCCAGGCCATTCCGGCCGTACCCTGCCGCTCCACGTGGTCCCGCCAGGCATGTGGACCAATGCCCAGCCCTGGGACGCCTTCCTACCCATGACCAACCAATCAACAGACACCCAGCAGTGGATCCCTGCCTGGGCACATGAGTTTGAAGTCTGGGGCCTCGAGTTTCCTAGCAGAGCAGCCACATTGCTAAAAAATGAGAAAAAGGTGCAAAGGCTGTTGATGAGTTGGGGGGAGCGTGGTCTGGATATTGTGTGTTTGTAAAGAGATGCTCTAGATAAATACACTGGCACGCTTTTTTGGTCTGCTGGTGACATTTGTGGATGATTAAGCAACAATCCCTGGACACCAAATGTGCAGCAGAAGAAATGTGCCTTGTTGATATGAGGCAAAGCTGAATATCGAAGACCAGTTGACCATTTTGATACAGGAGAACTGATGCCCCATTGTTTAGACTTCAGCTTGAGTGAAAGCATGTCATTGGCCAAGCACCTGAAAGAACAATGCCTCATTGGCTCAGAAGTATAGCTTGTTAAGCTGTTTAGGTGACATGCCATACCTCATTGGCTGTGTGCGCAATGCCGTCTTTAGGTCCTCCACAACTTTGTTCCTCATCTCCATCTCCTCCTCGTCAAAGGCAAACAGCGTCTGCATCTGTAAAATGTTTGGATGGTTCACGTTTACAGTAAATCCCAGCTCCTGCAGTATGTGGCACGCCATTGGTCAACCTGACATCTAAGCACGCCTTGTCCAGTCAGACCACAGACCTAGTGATAGTCAGTTTATGAGATGGGTGTTGGGCCTTTCACAGCAAACAGAGGGCACAACATCTTTGATACCCATCTGTGTGTCACTGATATCCATCGAACAAGACGGAGACTGTATTTCCAGTGTGGTTGCTGCCTTCACTCAAACTGTCAAATCTGTTCAGCAGAGACACTTCATGGTAGATTTTCCTGTAAAATTGTATTTTGCATTAAGCAGAACAGTTATTCAAATATTAACTACAACGAATGCAACATCGATTTATCTGCTCGTTAAAAGCTCACCCACTACATTATGGCCTCTGTTAAGTTTGTTTTGAACATTTGTTCCACCAGCTTCTGTTTGTCCAGTAAGGGCACTGCACCGAGCTGAGCTCTTCAAACGGATCTCTGCTGTTTTCCTTACGGGTACAATAAAACCCATTCACAAGATGTGTATATTTATTTGATTTAAAACACTTTTTAAAAAAATCTAAATTAACTGAAAGGCTGGCGTGTGTGTGTTAGCCTGCTAAATGAAGAAAGTTGTGAAGAGAAATGGCTCTGGTGTTCAAGTTTATGGCTTGAAATCTGTGTGAGTGGCACAAATGCAAAGTGTGCGCCCATACTCGGGTCTTAATGACCATTCGAGCCCTTAACCTCGGCTCTCGTGACCATCCGTCAGATCCACTGCTAATTCAGGTTGTGCTCTTCCAGGGAAGGGAGACTTGGAAGGAGAACTTAGTGAGTATATCTGTTCTTTTTAAAACTATATTAGAAACTTCTGCTGATTACTGCTGAACTATAGACAGACAATTTTAATATTCAGCCCCTCCAGACTTCAGTACTGCTACTTAGACCCCTTGTTAAAATCGTATTATAATCATAAATAATGTCTGGTCTACATTCACCTTGGATCAGTATATAAAACAGGTATTCTTAGACTTTTTGGTCAGTCTGCGATGAGTTGAGTTGCGTGAGTGAAGTTTGGTGGTTCTACGTTGCATTTTTGTACCATGTTAACCCATTTTACCTTAACCACATTGATTCATAAGGTGTATTATCGGCTGTGTCCGCCTTAACTTGCGGTTCTGTCTGCATCTGGACTCCTGAGAACTCCTGATCTAGAATCTTTGAAGCTTTGAGTTCTTCTGAGTTGCAGGACTCGCTAAACCTTCCAGCTCCTCATCTCAGCATAAAGACCTTCATTCTTCAAGTTTATCGAGGTAATATACTGTATATTATGCACTCCTGGCTCTGAGCGATTCAGATTGAAGATTATTTTAATGTTAGGGTTACAGCATTAGGCCAGGGCTCACATTGCCCATGGGGGGTCACACAGCGGGTACCATACTGGTCACAAGATCACTGGGTCCCAGGTTCAAGTTCTAGGCACGCCAGGTACGTTATACTATCCAGCTCGCATTAATAAACAAAAACAGCTGCATACACAGCAGGCGGTGCAGGTTTCTCTGGATCAGTAATGTCAACTAGGAAAATAAATTAGTTAATATAGAATAGCAGAAACACACAGTGCCCTGTTCCTCTTTTGCGTTCCTCATTCCAGGACATGCTTGACTTATATTCCACAAATCTCGACTAACGACATTTTCTGCTAGAAGTGGACCTTTGCCATCTAGCCAGAAAATGACATCAAACGGCATCAACGTGGAACTGGAGCTTCATGGCACTGGCTGGTGATCTGGTGAAGCTTGTCATGTTGTCTAATACTTGTTTCTCCTCAACTCTTTCCGTGCTCTTCTTTGGACGCCTGTGCAGATGACCTCCTGGTGCGCGGCTCCCCACTGCCCTGATCTCCCATCAGCAGAGTAAGTCTGCAACATTTTTAAGCATATTTTTGATGTGCTAGGAAGGGCATGACCGACATTTTATAGTGGCTGATTACATACTTCTGTATCGCTCAGCTGGACATTTTTCTGATGCCTGACACCCTGAGGCTTTTGAGAGATTAAAGGCCATTTGTTGTCGACCAGGGGCGTGAGTGTCTAGCGGGAGGCAGGAATGTGTGTGGTGTGAAGTGGTGGGGGGGGGGGGGGGACGGAGGGGATGAGCACATGGGGGGAAGAGCTACTCACTGCAGCCATGGAGTTAATGCGGTCGATGTAGTAGTCGGGCCAGCTGGTAGCCAGCTTGTTGGGGTCCTCTTGTTCCTGGAAGAGAGAGAGAGACCGCAGCATGTTAGCATGTTAATGCAAACTTCAGGCTTGCTGATGAATAGACCCTCATCTTTATCCCCATATTTTTGACATGTGGTCTTAAGATTAGTTGACAGTTAGAAGTCTTCATGCGCTCCTACAGATCGGTTACATGATGTTAGCTGGGAGAGAGAAGCAAGTTCCCAAGTGACGGGAAAAACGGTGACAGCCAGACCCTGGACTGATGAATGTGCCTATATCGTCCATTGCCATGCCAACACCAACACACACCACACCATCATCATCATCATCATCATTATTATTATTTTATTATTGCTGTTCATTCTGTTGGCAGTCGTGGTAAAAGCTGAACACATCTGCAGTTTTAACAGGTGTCGGGTGTCGTTCACCCACTTGGGGCCAACAGCAGCAAGTCCAGTTAGGTCCCAAACACTGTGTATCGGTGACCCATGTTGGCATGCGTTCTGTACAGCCACCGCCCTTGTGCCAAGGATGGGTATGGCTCACGGCACAGAAGCCCTGCTTAAAATCTGGGTCGAATGCAGGAGTACAGACAATTCGATTGTGGAGGCATTTTAATAGCACAGCCCCCCAGGCAGCGGCCTGGTCTTCAATAACACGCCTGAAGTGCATTTCCACTCATTTCTGGTGTCCAGGAAGAGAGAGTCACAGGCCAAGCTTCTCTAAGTATGTGACGGCAATTTTGGACAGAGATTATCGAGGACTATTGAATTTCTGTTATTGTTTCTGTGGGTTTACAGGCCTGTTGGAGAGCTGGAAAACACATTTTTTGATGGAAAATGTCAATTTCCTCTATGGAATACTTGTCAATTTTATTTGTGTGTGTGTGTGTGCATGGGTGTGCCTGTGTGTGTGTGTGTGTGTGTGTGTGCCTGTGTGTGTGTGTATGTGTGCCTGTGTGTGTGTGCGTGTGTGTGTCTGCCTGTGTGCCTCTGCCTGTGTGTATGTGTGCCTGTGTGTGTGTGTATGTGTGTGTGCGTGTGTCTGCCTGTGTGTGTGTGTGTGTGCTTTGCATATTTACAGTATTGGGATTATCACTGTAATGTGTTTTCCCTTGTGCTGAGCGGGGGGGCGGCATGAAGAGCACGGCAGCACGATGATATCCAGAGAGCTGCAGCATCATGACTGCAGTTTACAGCTCTGATGCCCACAGCCACTCTGCTCCACTCAGGCAGCCATTCAGGGCCTCCATAAAACCGGAGGCGATTCCCCGAAACCGACTGACCTGCAACACGTCTCACTCTGAATGGCAGCTAGCCGCCTGTCATCCGGAACGACAACATCAGCATGAAAATGTACACAGAACAGAGACAGGCATGAGAGTGCAAGCATGAGGGAAACATTCCTCTGTGAAAATCAGTGCTTATTTTTATTCAAAACTAACACGACGGGAGTGTCGTGTGGCTCGGGGTGTCAGGGCACTGATCTGCGATCAGAAGGTCACAAATCCCAGAGGCAACAGAGCAATTCCATCTTTGAGCCTTTAAGCAAACCAACCCCCCCAATCAGACCAGGGACTTTGGACTCTCTCTCAAAATTGTACATGCTTTGGATTCAAGAATCTGCTATAAATGTAAATGTACTAACTTCCATAAGGCCGGAATTAAATCCCACAGACTAATATGTACTGTGTTTGGCTTTACCCCCCCCCCCTGCTTGTCAATAAGCATCATCTGGGGGCGATTCTGTGATCCCTTCTTTATTGATGGTGCACTTTTAAAATGTTGCACAGCATGGAACATTTACTGTACCCGTTCAAAATGACTGCCGGCTTGTTTAGTAGGGAATTCTGCAGTTTTAATTAGCCTGGTGCATTTGAAAGAGGGCTGTACACTTCAGGGTTAGGTCAGTGCTATTGAGTATTTTGTGCCTTGATATCTGTGCTGTAAGGCTGGCAGGGACTATATATCTTCTGTTCACAGACATTAAGGTCACCCTGTGTGCCGAGTCGAGTTCTGGGAGCCGCAACAAAAACTAAAACTGAAAACTAGAATAACACAAAAAAGGCAGAGATTTTTGTCTGAAGTCACTGCCTTAGCAAGATGAGACCTCAGGCAGTAAGGACACAGGGCAAACCTTCCAGAAGGTTCTTTCTTTCTGGCAGCCTCTGCCTCCCATGTCTCTTCAACTCCTGTAGGACTTGCAACCTGCGGCCGCGACTGAAATTACCCCGGGAGGGGGGGGGGGGAGCTGTGACCGCCAAGGCGAGGAATCTTATTCCGCGCCGGAGCTGTCGAAGGCTTGGCCGGGCGGCTTTACCCGATTCTTCCCACGGCCGCACGGGGACCGGGCCAAGCACGCGGCCCCCACTTCGGAGCAGCCGAAAGGAGCCGGGACCTCGTCTTCAGAAGGGCCAGCCTCTGAGGCTAATGCTAAGTTAGTAAGAATAGCGGCCATATTAGGTTATTGCCTTGTTTGTAAGACGTTCTGTAGCTCCTGCTCCGACGCCGTTTCACTGGCAGCTCAGCCTGGCTGACTTATGCCCAGTTAACACACTGGTTGTGCTTGTAATGTACATCACTTTGGACAAAAGTAATTGCTGCATAGAGTAACTGAGACTATGGGCTGTTGTTATAGGGCCCCTGCTTATAGATTAGGAGCCCTGTAAGGTGTCTGCGCTAGATGGCCTGTAAATATGAGAGTCCCACAAGGTTTAGTGACTCTAGGCTCACTTTCTGGCACCGTTAGTCCCACAATTCCTGGAGGTAAAGTGACATTTATTTTCATCCTCTAATCACTGGTTTTGTGAAGTTTCACGTCACACCTGCAGGGTGATATGTGGATCCCCATTGCCCCTCCCCCCCACCCCCCGCTGAGCTGGGCTGTTTATTTATGAGAGGGGCAAATGAACTTGCTGGCATTTGAGAAGCTCGGGGGTTTACGCTTTGTGCGAGACGGCCCGCACCCCTCAGATGAGGGTGGCTGCAGCGTTCTCGGACACGCCGTAAATTCGGCGACGGGATTCCTCAGCCACGGTGGAGTGGCTTTAGCCGGAATGTTGGCTGCCTATCCAGACTGTTTGAAATCTGTTCCCTATTATTCTGCGAGCATGACGGTTTGGCGGAGGAATCCAAAAAGACAGGAGCAGAATGGTTCTTTTTTTTTTTTCTAGCTTTTCGTTTAGAGGTTCTTGTTTCTGAAACTATGCCACATCCATACTGTGCAGAAATGATAGGACAGGCATGGACTGGGCGCTATAGAAAGTCACAGACATTTAGTGAAGCCATACTCTGCCTGGCTGTAAGGGCTCACTGGGGGATGGGTTCAGTGTCAGACTCGACGGTCATAACTGCCAAGCTCCCTTTGATCGATAACTGAGTAGCAAGGCCATCCCTCAAGTATGACCATGGGTGGGCTGCTCATCTCTGATGTGGGATAGGATCTAGTGTCATGATGGTGTACAGTAGAACGTCCAAGGTGGATCTGCCAAACACTGACAAAGTCATTCCTGGTAATCAATGCATGGGGGACCGGACAAGCAAAGACCAGAGAGACACATACAGAGACACACACAGGGAGCCCCAGAGTTCATAAACAATGTTCTAAAAGCAAATTCATCACCCATTCAGGTTCCCTGTCTCCTCAGTGTGGATCGTGGAGCCTGGACACTGAGGCCGGTGTAATGTATACATCCGTCACCTCAGTCCAAACAAGCTCTCATTGTTTCCCGCTATATCTAAGGAACTCCAGCGAGACCCTCTAATGCAAACACCACTTCCGAAGCCATTGGCCAAGGTTTTATTCCGCTGTTTATACTGAGCATGCACGGAGAACGTGCCAATGGGCGAGGTGCACTACCGAGCGAGGTCGTCGCTAAGGAAACTTGTAGCGACTGTTGCTAATGTCGAGAACATACAGGATGTGGATTGGCTGTAGATAGCATGTGACGTAAGGCGCCCTGGGAGCTTACGCGAGGGGGCGAGGTGCAGGGTACGTACCTTCTTCTTGCTGCAGTAGATCTGCCATTTCTTCTCGGCCGGCAGAGCAAACATAGCCTCCCGGTTCCGGTCTGTCAGGTCTAATTCATCCTGAAATGCAGCCGGACACAGGGTCAGTCACTTTGTCCAGTGAATTTTTTTCCTACAGCACACAGTAGGTCCAAAAGACACAACATTTTGTGGAAGGATGAAGTGAGACGGGCAGAGGTAGGACGAAACTCACTCCACACACTAGGCCATGAACACATTCAGAATCGCCAAAGGCCAAACAGGCCGTCTGACTTATTGCCATGGCGACCGAGCTTTTCAGACTATCGGGGTCACTGGAAAACTTGAGAGAAGCCCCCCCACTCTTGGGCCAGATGGGCCTGACTCGCAGAAACTGCAAAGGCATTATCCCCTGACTTTACACTTCCATTAAACACTTGAAGCTTAGCTAAACTGGACCAGAAGCTCCCGTGGTGGCTGGGGAATAGAGACACATGCCTCCCGCTACAAGTGACACGTCACTGTCACCTGATCTGTACATGTGGCAGACACTCCATGGTAGCTGCAGGCTATTGGGGGATTTGAGGGAGCGGGAATCTACTGGCTCTCTGTAGACAGACGCCCAAACCCCCCCACCCCCCCCCACCAAGAGCAGTAATGTGAATCTCAACATCTGCTGCTGGGCTGAACCAGAGCCAGGTGGAGAAGGGGACCTGGAGTTCTGTGTTTCATTTGAAGCTTGTAGCTAAGCCCAGGTCTGTCTGACTGGCACGCCAGTGAACGACAGCCTCTCCGCTTCCGCTGAGCTGCATTCCCCATAGCGAGAGCCTCTGCAGCGGAATGCAGAGATCTGGAGGCTTGACTGCCTCTTAGTGTGATGTCTAGCACCGAAACGTTCTCTCGGTTCAGTATTCGGTAAACGCCCCATGCCTTTCCCTGCCCAGAACCAAGAAATAATAAAAACAGTGTTCCGATCATAATCTCCAGAGTGGATTAGACATCAGATTTTGGGTCACGGCTATGATTCCGTTCCGGGCCAGTGACAAAGACACAGGGCATGTGTTCCGAACGCCGAGGTCCGGACCAGAATGCGGAGGGGGGTTGAGCAGCGACGTCCCGTAGGGATCCGCCTCGGGGGGCGGGGCTTGGGCCCCCTTCCTTAATCAGCTGACGGGCGTGTGACCTCGCGGCTTACAGAGCATCCCGCCTGCCCACGCTAAGCGACCACAAGCGCTGTGGCCACTCTGTGGAATTCACATAAACTAAAATCAATATTGATACACCTGCTTCACAGAGAGGAAAAATACATGTACAGTGGAAGGTCTGACGTTAATTTGGCCTCCATGTTTCTGCGATAGGAACAGACAGGCGAGCTGGGGAGGTCTTTAAGCTAAGCAAAGGCTGCTGTCACAGTGTGTGCTGGGGCAGCAAATACCCCACCATCCCGATGGGTAAATCATCACACATCACTCTGAAATGCAACACCGAACACGGCATCACCTGTTAGTGAGTTTTTAATCTATGTAAGGGCGGACACAGCACGCTGCCGGACGATCACTGCAAGGATTCAGGTCAAGTACAAGTCAGATGTTTGCAGACAGGGCTGTAAGAGCTAAGGTGGGTCTGCAGAGGTCTCTGGCTAAGGTGCCCCCCAGATGACTTCTATAGGAAGACAGGCTGGTGAACTACCTGCTTAGGAGGAAGATGATCACAAATGGACTCCAGATGGACTGACAGTGCAGAATCAGGTTCATTATCCACACAGAGGGATTTTGTCTCTCCTTGTCAATGACTCTCATACATACAGTAGATGAATATACAGTTCAGATGAGACAATGATCAGATATAGGTCCTGTTAATATATACAGCTTGCATGTGTGGTTCTGAACTGTACAAGTGTCTGTTAGCATTAGCCTAAAATTGATTGGATGAAATTGGCGGAGCCGTGGTCAACTGCATGGGAGGCAGGAAAATGTTCGACGAAGGAATGGGGAATGTTTCAGATACCGTCTAAGCCAGGAGATCTGATACGATTGGAGGGGAAACAATGCAGCAAATGGCGATTGTGGGAGCTTTAGAAGTATAACTTTACATAACATGAAGGCATGAGAGGGTGTAAAAGGGAAGGACAGGGCTTGTCTGAGGGAGCCCAGCTCATGGAAGGATGCGAGGATGGCGGCTCCGCGGCTGCGACCTGTGTGAATGAGTGACCCACTGCCAGGTGTGTGTGTGTGTGTGTGTGTGTGTGAGTGACCCACTGCCAGGTGTGTGTGTGTGTGTGTGTGAGTGACCCACTGCCAGGTGTGTGTGTGTGTGTGAGTGAGTGACCCACTGCCAGGTGTGTGTGTGTGAGTGAGTGACCCACTGCCAGGTGTGTGTGTGTGTGTGAATGAGTGACCCACTGCCAGGTGTGTGTGTGTGTGTGTGTGTGTGTGAGTGAGTAGCTTGGGGGTCTGGCTTGGGTTGTTCTGGCCCCCCCACTCGTTCAGGAAGGGAGGAGGGAAACGGGGGTGTGGACCTGCAGGAAGCACAAACTAGCAGAAATGGAAGGAAGTCATATGAAGTCCTGGGGGGGGGCAGCAGGAAACTTGTAGTGGCCATATATGGAGATCTGGGACTGAGGGGGGGGGGGCAGCACAGGTATCACAGAGACCTTCGGTGGAGCCACAGGTACATCTGTGTTGCCTCAAGAGGACCAAGTTCTAGGGGAGCGAGCAAAGCAGTCAAGGGAGACGGTCCTGAAGGTCTCAGGTCCAAACCACAGGAGAGGACAATGGACCTATTCTGTTGAAAACGGGGCATAACCTTAACATAACCTCAAACTTGAACGGATTCCAGCGAAGTATCTCGGCACATAAGCAGCTGTGAAAGTGCACGCTTTCTGGGTCGGCTGGGACCATGGCCGTGGGACATAAGAAGGCACACGCTCCGGGGGGCATGTCAGGACACGGTGATCGTTAACGCGCTGGTTATTTTCCAGTTACGCTGTTTGGGCAGTGGGGTGTGGCTCCACCGCGGCACAGAGCCGAATGTCCCAGAGCAGGGCGGCTCTCGGGATGTGTCACGCGTGGGAGGGGGGTCCGAGTTTGGCCTTGGCGGAGTCTTGGCGGGCATCGGGGTTGGATCAGGAGATTCAGCAGGCAGGGAGGGGTGGGGAGTCAGCGGGTATCCAGGTGCTGGTTGAGGACGAGGAGGAAAAACGCACCCCCCTTCCCCTGGCCACACAAGCCCCCCCGGGCAGGCCGGTGGAAAATGATGACTCTCTGGTGTTACATAAAGCGTTTCCGTGCCGACACGGCGAAGCACGCCCGTGCAGCTGGCATATTTTATGGGAAGCCTTCCGAGAGAACCGCCCAGCTTGGGGAAACACGAGACCCACCCAGGCTCCGGACCGCAAGACCGGAAGACTTTCCTTGACTCCAGTCATACTGGGGCAGGAAAGAGCACTTGTGGAACCTTACAATACAAGTTTAGTTTTCAGTCGGTTCACTCTGAACTGTTCTAACGTCCCGCTGTGGGGCAGGGAGAGCACGTTATAAAAATAAATGAAATAAAAAGAGTTTATTTAATTACGGGAGCAGTTAACATAGAGGCTAAGGAACCTGAAAGGCAGCCAGAAGGCTGTTGTGGATAGCTGCACAACCTGAATCGCTTCGGCATTAAAAAATTCAGCTGAATGGGAATATGTTCTGCCTCGGGTCTTGGCCAGCTCTAGCGCCATCTTGGTGGTAAGAGCAAATATTGCGGGCTGTCATTTCTTCAGCAGGCCATGCCGACCCCAAGAGACATAATGCCTCAGACTGGGACCTAGCCTCTGCGGTTTGGTGCAGACTGCAGGATTCAGCCTGTCTGAATCTGTATGAAGAGACAAGCCAGATATGTGTGGTCTTCTCAGTCAGCTGTGGGACCCAGTGGTTGCACCGACATCCCCTCCAATGTTGTCGTGCCCACTGAGGCCTGATCCGTTTGCTGCGGAGAAACAGCCTGTTGAGTTTTAAATTCACCCCCCACCCTAAGGGTGGCCATTGGGTTGTCGACACACTATGCCGGTAGCTCAGCCAGCAGGGTGGTCCTCTCACACAGGAGCACAAGACCCTCACTAAAGCAGATGATCCGAGGTGCTAGCAGACACCACGGCGGTCCTTCCTAAGATGACGTTACTCTTGGCTGGTACGGCCACTGTCTAGCAGAGATGCACCAGCACGGACTCAGGTGTCTGCGCGATCCTCATGTCTGCGCAATCCCCATGTCTGCGCAATCCCCATGTCTGCGCAATCCCCACGTCTGCTTCTGCATTCTTACACCCCAGTATTCTCCCATTCAGTGTCAGCTTCACTTTAACCTAATTGCCATGCATGGTGGTTCTGCAGTCTGACCAAAGGCCTTTGTTAGGCTGGTAAATAACACCATTTTCCTTTATTCTTCTGCTCCAACCACTCTGCTCTGATCCATCTCCCCATGGCCCCCCGCCCTCCTGAGACCTTCGTACCCCGTGGCGGATTGTGGGTCAGGTTTGGCACACTGGGGACCGCACTGGAACCTGCAGAGAGGCACCAATGCAGGACTCCAAGTAGAACCTCCCTACCCCCTCTCACTGTCACCTATGTGTCCTCATGCGACCCCCGTATCCCTTCCCACTGCATATTCTCCACCGGTTTCCAAGTACACAAATGTGCGACTCATTACGTCTGGTTATAAAGCGTCACTGCTCTGGAAAGAGGGACCGTCGGATAAACAAAACTATATTTCTACCACTGCATGGCCCAGATGCCACCACATCGACCATACATAAAATTAAACAAAAAAACTAATCAATAAGAAAAAATGCCTTTTGAAATGTGTTACAAGCAGACAGAATTTGCCACAGCTTTCATAACTGATTGCACGTTTGTGCAAGAAGCATCCAAGCTGTAGCGATGACCCCACATTCCATATCTGAAACCCATTGTGGCAATCCTGATTAATTATGCCCATTAAGGCCTGTAACATGGGCTCTCTTACTCATGAGGAAATTGGTCAGGACGCTTAATCGTTTCCAGGTTAACCAGGAATCGTTCTTGTTCCAGCCAACCGCACCAAGGAATCTCCTGCACGTGGGCTGC